TCTAATCTCCCACCAAAATGGAGACGAGTTCGACTAAACAAACGCTTCAATGTTCACTATCCCTGACAGGCGTGCTACATACTTAAATGCAGATTTCTACTGTTTACGACACGTTTTTGGCTGGAATGACTTTATCAATCTGAATGTAAATTATTCTTAACTTGAATTTACTCAAATTTGCTTATTTGATGGTGATCAGGACAGAAATCCCGTTCGATGTACCTTGGTCCATGAGCATATCTCAAAATAAGATTGATCATTAGAGTTTAGAAATATCATCAGGAAATGAATATTGCAACTGCCTATTCTCCCCTAGCACTATTTGTCACAAACAAACAGTTCAGTTACCTGGTGTTTTCTCAAAAATAATTGATTCACATCAACCAGGTGTACTTGCCAACTTGTCAGCTGGAAACGATCTCAACACCGAGTGGCCATTTCACTCTTTTGTCGTCAAGATCATCAGAGGTGTGTGTGTGGGGGGGGGATTTGACTCAGCTCAGATAGCCAGATCAACTCTAAACCATCAAATTTCTGAATAGATGTGGTGGCAGCTGTCTGCTAACCAAAATTGGTAGACAACAATTCACGTCAATGTTTACGTCCCAAATCGAGGTCATGAGAAATAACAAGAACAAAGACTAACCTTAAGGAACTCAACAACCAATCACGGTAAACTTAGCGTGGGCAGATACCATTAGCAGATATATCAACGGAGTGTATAAGAAACGGCAATAAACAGATGACAGAATAATCTTCAGCAGGAAAACAACCAATCAGAAGACGTCACCTCTCCTCTGGCAATAATGTACATAAAAATCTATAAATATTTGTCGATTTTCTCAAAAATAAACGATCTGTTGCCTGGCCATTGTCTTCTTTCGTTATATAGGTACTTGGGTTAACTAGTGACACCATAAGCTTGCAAACTGTGAATATCACTGAGTATTGAAGGATCTTCTCAAAGGCTTGGCAATGGACAGACACAACAAAAAGTATGAAAGTGAGCACTGGAGGCTGTGTTATCCTCTGATCCAATAGTACTACTTTTATCAAGTGCATCATACAGTATCATCAAAGGGTTGCGTTCGGCGACTCCATACTGGAGATCAGATGGCCTACTAGAAAGAATGAATAACAAGAAACTCTGGGAGCTAACCAACTAACAACCTGTTCTACACAAACATGTAGAAGAAAATGCAAGAAGAAGACTGTCGAATGTCATCTCGCACCAGACCATCCACAGCTCGAGTGGAACTAGAGTGCGAAACGATGAGTTTAACTTTAGTCTGAATGTGACATTGAGGAGATTGTGTGAGTAGGAAGAGATGACAGACAATGGGCAATCATTAGGCTTGTTAAAGAGGACGCCGGAGAATAGGACAAAGTTGAAATTTGCTGCTGAAGCCCTACATTCCACTCGGAACTCAAGGTAAGTCACATTAACAACAGTTCTGATAAATGTCTTGTTCTTACAACTTCACTTCCCCCGATGATAACACTAGCGAAATAATAATATAACGCTTAAGGAATGAGGTGGAATGAGCATTCAATTCTGCTGAATTAAACTGTTTTGCCTCTTCTAAGTGTATCTATCAATTTGACTGATTCTGTGGAGCCAGTTACACAGGAAGTAAAATTAGGCACGTTAACAGTTGTATTTCTGAACACTATCCAGCGTGGTTAAGCAAAGTACAAAAATAAAGTTCATTCATAGTTCGATTCTAACTCAACTCCTTTGGATACAAAACACAAGACTGTTGAAGCTATCTACCGTATACCGAATAATCCTTATTTTACCTCGAGAGTTTGTCTATTACACAAACTGCTGCTAAAGCTGTCAGAATCCATATGGTGAAGGAGCCTATCTTATGTTTCCAAAAAGAGAAAGGGCGAAGTTAAACTTTAAGTACCACTGACTACCAATCAGTGAATGACCTCGAACACACCACTCACGTGAAGAAGGTATTTTTTGTGTAGGGAATACATATATTTATGAAATAAATGCATAAAAACTGCAGAAAAGTATTACAGAGGATACCTTTCTCTAACATGTGATAAATGTAGCTCTCCGTTTTAGGTTGGGGTATCAACAGAGTATAATTCCATTGTGGGTAAAAATTTATACATTTGGTTCCCTTGATAAAATTAGATAAAGAAATGAAGACGAAATTTGCAGTATAAAATGATATCATCATTCTATTTCACAGGTTCTCATCAGCTGCAGACTACCTGAAATTACAATGGTTATATAGATGATAATAACATACATTAATGTTCAAGTGGTGGTAGAAAAGAGATACTATAAAATTGACGCATCTAAATGAAAGCATTACAATGTTTTTAGTTTAAGTTTTCATCATCAATTTATACGCTTTTAAAGTTGAAAAGAGGGGGAGGGGTAAGAGAGAAAACAGAAAAATGTTGATTAACAGAACAGTGTTAGCTTTTAGGTTCACATAGCAACTCAAAAAAACATAAGCGGTTACAGTTTATGAGATTAAGATTTGTTCAGTGAGTTGAGATCACTGAATTAGATGACTAATCAAAATCAAAATTCTGTTACCAAGGAAGTGAGAGGTTAATCACACTCTCTTTCTGTATGCATAAGTCTGGTTTAAGTCTTTTGATTGCGATTGCTTCGGCAAATCGTAGTAAATTTGCTGTCCTTTGTCTATTTAATATTTTGAAGGACTTAGAAATTTCTACGAGATGTCCGGTATCAATAATGTGTCTGGTAATTGCACTCTGGGAATATCTGCTTCCTTTCAGGCAGAGGTTTTTGGGAATATGTTCAGAAAACCGGATAGAAGCCCTTCTTTCTGTCCTTCCAATGTACTTGCTCCCGCAAGTGCACGTGAATTCATAAACGCAGTTGGAGGTGACATCAGCAGGGTATTTATCCAGTTTTGAGTGGATTAAAGAAAGAGTGGTGCTGTATACTGTCATGAGTTTTGCTGCTTCTATTTATTGCACCTTTCAGTCTTTTGTCAATCTTTTGTGACACTACATCTCCTTTGTATGGTAGACAGATAAACACTTTTTACTTTTCTACAGTTGGATGCTTTTCTTTCTCATCTTTTTCTCTGCTGTACTTCTGAATAAATCTCTTAGGGTATCCATTTTCCCTTAGGCATTTCTCGACGAAAACTAATTCTTCTTCGACCCTGTTTGGTGAACATAGCTTTCTGGCTCTGTCATACAAAGTCCTCACTAATCCACGTTTATAGCTTATGGGACAAAAGCTGTTATAGTGAAGATATTGTCCAGTCCAGGTTTCTTTTCTATAGATGGACTTTTCGACCGTGCCTTCGTTTGTTCTTTTTACATTTAGATCCAGGAAATTGAACTCATTATTATGTTCATATTCCATGGTGAATTTGATATTTGGATGTATCTCATTTAGGCGATCATATTTTGATGAAGTCTCATATTGTAACACAATAATGTTTACTAAGCAATAAATTGTGCTTGAAACGTGGTCATCAGGAAATATTACTGTATAACACCCTGAGACTTTATCAAAACAAATGTTACCCGCAATGGAATTATGCTCTACCACAACGCACAAGTCTTCTAACAATAGCGATAACCCTAATCTTTTCTGAACCTAACCCTAACTCAATCCAACCCTAATGTCGCCTTTATTAGGTTAACCTAACCCTAACTTATCCTTGACTTACAGCGTAACTTAATCTTTCCGAAACCTAAGCTGAAACTTGCCAGATATCCAATTTAACAGCATAACACTTCGATGAGCGTATTTTATTGATGATGACAACATTATATGCCAGGTTTCACTGACTTTCTCAATGAGCGTTTCAAGTTCACTGGTGCGGTGGCACTCCATTGGTAGTTCGTGGTGCTTAAAGTTTAACCTGGCCAGAAGAAGTCGGTTCAGACGCTTTTTTCTTACCTTGGCCATTCAGGTTCTAACTAACCTTAATCTTATTTGATATTCTATTTGGTATTACATTTTTCTATGCTTATTATAATTTAAACATCTTTCATGAATTGTAATTCTATTGTTACTGTGTATAATATATATATATATATATATATATATATATATATATATATATATATATATATATATATATATATATATATATAGTTGTCAAAAAGCATCTTCTTTTCTGGAACTTTCTTTTGTCTTCTAAATGTCTGAAAGGAGATTTTCTAGTTCAATTTGTTTTCACATTATCAGTCAAATTTACCCCATTTATGATCTATGTATGTCATAAAAAGACATCAGTTATATAACCGTTGGAACCCAAAACGGCACTGGACTGACCTATAGATAGGTGTGAGGCAGTCCTCTGACCATTTAGTCATTGTGGCAGATTCCAGTAACCCGTGAATTCCAACATCTGTCAGTCTCAATGAATTTTTGCTTTTCCCGTCGATTGATTAAACCGAAGTGCTCGGTCTTAGTTTGACATGTCGGCTTCTTTCGTAGATGCTTTGACGATGCCTGGGTATTTAATTAGAATTTAATTGGTGGATGGTGACTAGCAGTGGAATCCAGGATAACGCGCATTTCGTCCTATTTGGGACTAGTCATCTGGATGTACCTGTATTTTCCAGTGACTGATGATTTTCCCACCGAGGCTCGAACCCAGTTGTTGATATAGGGCTACTACCAACCGACACAACCAATGAGTATTCATGCCTTTTTAACATGATTTACCCTGCCGACTACAATTTCCTACTAGAATTTCAAGACAATCGCCCAGTAGACGCTTACAAATGTGAAACGTGCAACCAGATGTTGGATTTTGTCCTAAGTGCTCTCGGTCTAAACCTGTCGGATTCCCAACACATAACAAACAATTTGATAATACATTTTATTATACAATTAATTCAGCTATATTCATTGAACAATCTAAACTCTATTATAATTATTCTTGTGAATAATACATTATGGTTTCTCTCTAGAAGTAATCAGAGCAGTCATTGTTTCGTCTTTCATACCACCACCACTACTAATTCTACTACTTTTATACTTGTAAAAGTAGTGCAACACCACCCATAATCCATTTAGCCGGTTTCTCTTTTGTACGTAAATGAAATGTCCATACAAATGTTGGTCCTCTTGTCTTCGTCTTATACACAGGACAGGCATACATAGCTGCTATTCGACCTTCTTGTCTATCCGATGGTACAGCTCTAAGCAGGATAACAGGCATTGCTGGTGCCAGTTCTTTGATTCTAGCATCAACAATTGAATTAGCACTTGTATCCCATCTAGCACCTTCAATAAATAATCCATGCACATAGGCACCTTCTCTTGGTGCCGAACCCATTTCTTCTTTTGTCTTTTTTGTAACTTCAACACTGATACAAATCTTGTCCAATGGCCATTCCATTTTTCTTGCTGTCTGTTGCATAACAGCCGTTAAAAATGATTGTGGATTAAACAAACCACCAAGCCATACAGAGCCTGGCAGGCCTAAATCTTGTGCCCATATATCTAATTCTTTACATCGATTTGACAAATCAGCAAACCATAATCCAAGTGGATAGAGACTAGGATAGGCATAACGTTCCCAGGTTGATGGTACCTAAAGGTAGAGAAAAGTGAATTAATAGAATGTCTAAGAATAAACAAATTCTTCAAAAAAGAGAAAACTCCACAGTGACATCACCCAGTCTATACAACTATCATTATGCATTAAAAGGACGTTCATTTTCTAGAGAAAATTCTCTCTGACTCAGTACCTATTACTGTTGATTGTGGCCTAGGCTATTTGGAGGCATATGGATAGAGAAAGTGGCCAAAAGAAATGAAATCAACATTATAAGTCACTGGTTGCAAGCTGAGGTGAAAGTGTTTTTATTCCCTAAATCTGGATTTAGTTTGAGTTGTGGTCAGGAAATAATTTCATTGGACAACTTTTCATCTGATTTTCAAGTGTTGGTTTGTAGGCATTTGATTGGTTACAGGATTTCATCATGAGCTGACATTAATTAGAGAACCATTGGAAAACCAGCCTCAGGGAGTACTTCCAGACAGCTGTTTCGTCAACCTAGTGCTTGTGACTCTTCAACAGTACTCACCCATCATATGGGTTCGAACACAGGACCTTCTGGTTACAAGGCGAGCTAGCTGGTAGACCATTAAGCCACTGGGACCCGATCCAATGGCCCATGATTTCTAACTTCAGCGATTTCACAAAATAGCGCGACCACTAGCCAATGTCATCCGTGGCGAGTATTCGTTCTCACACCCGACCTGCTGCAGCCTACTGGTCACGACGTCTCTCTAGAACCCCGGTGGGAGCTTACTATTGAAGAGTCCCAAACTAGGACGAAACGGCTGTCCAGTACTCCCAGGTTTTTCAATGGTTCTCTAACTGATGTCAGCTATGATGAAATCCTGTAATCTTCATCTGATTGTTTAACTTTGTGCCAGTCACCAACCACCACCAATCAGAATAGGTTACTGTCGGCTGGTCTAGCCGACTTTTGATGTGATTAAAAAAAGATCAGTCACCAGTTCTCTTGCCTTGGGCCACTACACTCTTACTGTATCCATAGAACTGAGGGGAACTGTTCACGGTGAGTAAAATACTAATTCGCGTTATCCTGGAATGAATAAAAGATGCTCCACACCGGAGGAACAGGATAGAATCAGGGAAAACAAATTATGTGTGAAACAAGTAGAAAGTCTACGTATCATCATAGAACAAAGTATAAAATAGCAATGATAGGAACCAGCCTAAAGTAGTATGTCATTTTTTCTCACGAATCATATGGTTTATTTTGTGATGGAGTTACTATGTGAATGCATCATTTCTGTCGCATGTTGTGATTTAGTGTGTGATCAATTCGTCATCTTTATCTCACCTCGTTTTTGTCGGATTACCAGCCAGTAAGAACAATCCATTCTCACGGCTGTGAGTCGACTGTATTGTGGTAAATAAGATGAATAAATAGCATGTTTTGTCACCTTAATCTATACAGTATCTTATAATCACAAGCATCAGCCTTTGTCATTTGATATTTTCGTAACTGAGTGAATCGGAAGGCACAACAGACAAATAGGCATATTAGCGTGCCAATCGAGTTAATTACCTTTACAGTAATTAACAGCACAGATATAATAAAGTGAAGACGGAGTTTATTGATTTCGGTTCAGTTATAACAGGCAATAAAACATGCACCTCAATTTCATCTACTTTGTAAAGGCCTTCAACAATAAGGACTATTTTAAAACAAACAATAAAGGTTAATAAAGCAAGATTTAATGAATTCATCAAATTTCGGTAGAACTCGCCAGCTGAATTGAATATTCTACATACACGGATATATGTACTTTTGAAATTACATATGGAGATATAAGTCTGATAAGCAAATAAACTACATTGAATTAGTCATGCAGAAAGACACGTGCGAATGTTTTCCAGGTCATGTTCAAATAGATAAGGGGAGAGAGAGTATGAGAGATCAAAATTAAGATAAATTGCATTACGCTTCAATTACATCACTTAGATAAACAATTAGTCACTAGGGAATATAATGGAGCATATGATGATGATGGATATGATGGAGCATTTGCCAAAGCGGTTGAAAACAGCTGAGTGCAAAGTGCCGAAAACCTCAGTAACAAAACATCTTGTGAACCATGGACATGATATCGACGCGGTCAAGTCATTCACTATTGTCAGCAGACAAAGAAACAAGAAGATGCTTGCAATTGCAGAGGCTTGTGCAATTCGAGTTTATAAACCAGGTCTCTGTATACAAAAGGAGATGGTCGTAACTCTGAATCGACCATGGTAATACATTTTACTTATTATTCTACCTCTTATATTATTATTATTCTTGATTCACTTAAAAGTATCCTTTATCAGTAGGATTATCTTAACTCACATCAACACTATTATTATTATTGTTATTATAACTATTACTATTGATATTACTCTGTTTGCAATTCTTGTTATATTCTCTAATGTCTAATTGTTTATCTTAGTGATGTAATTGAAGCGTAACGCAATTTATCTTAATTTCGGTCTCTCATACTCTCTCTCTCCCCTCATCTGGAAAACACTCTCATCTGTCGTCTTTCTGCATGACTAATTCAATGTAGTTTATTTGCTTATCAGTCTTATATCTCCCAATTTAATTTCAAAAGTATATATATCCGTGTATGTAGAGTATTCAATTAGCTGGCGAGTTCTACCAAAATTTGAGGAAGTTAATCGCCAGCCCGAATAGGTCAGGGGTAACGCCTCTGACTACACCACTCCTCAATGAGTGAAGTTGGTGCAAATCTTAGAAGGGACATAAATTATTTCAAGACTGCAGAGAAACCTTCCTGATTGATGAGTGTCATTAAGCACAAAACCTAGGTGAAGTAAGGCTTCCTGACGAACGCCTCCAACCGTCTAATAATAACATGATACTGTGGTGAGAGCTGTCTGCCGAGCCAAAATCTGTAGACACCAATTTACGTCAATATTTACGTCCCGAATCGGGGTAGCAGTAGCAAAGCTTAACCTTGATTTCTACCGAAATTTGATGAATTCATTAAATCTTACTTTATTAGCCTTTATTGCTTGTTTTAAAAGTCGTATCGGGAAATAAATGTTTTCAATAATGACCATGAAGTAATTTGAAAACTACTTCAACAGTATGGGGTGTAGTGTCCAAATTTGTATCAACCCCATTCAAAGATCATATGACAATGTCACATGTCAAGTGAGCCGCAACGGAAAACTCACTGAGGCGTTCTTAGTGAAAACAAGCGTAAGGCAAAGCTGTCAGCCTATTATCAATAATGATATTCATAATTTTGGTGGACTGGATCCTACATCAAACTCTGCATTGGGGTGGGAAGACAGGATTACGTCGGGCGGACAGGAAGACGCTAAAATATACGGATTTCCTGGGTGATTTATCTCTAATGTCACATAAATTCAAAGACTTACAGTCGAAAATCAACAAGTTGACAGAAGAAGCAACCAGAGAAGACAGGACTCCAAATGAACATAAATAAGATGAAGGTAACCTACCAACTAACACCAACAAGAATAACGAGCACCAATCATTATCAACGGTAAAAAAAATTGGAAGAAGTTAATTCCTCAACTTATCTAGGCAACAGCGCGTATGAGGATATCAAAGCCAAGACCAAAACAGTAAGATAGACCTTCACCAATGTGAAAATGGGTTTCGAAATCTTCTGATCACTTCCAGAGCACAAAGAAAAAAAATTCGGATTTTCACTACTATCCTTGGGTCAGTCGAACACTCGCTTTTATTTTTCTCCCATATTACTGTTTCTATTTCTTCCTCATATTTCTGTTTGTCAACTCTCACACTTTTAAAATCTCTCCGTACTCTCTTCTATTGCTTTGTGTGCTACGTGTAGGGAGTGTAACAACTTGAACTGTGCGTCGGTGGCACAGTGGTTAGGACTCTCGCCGACCATGCACATGGTCCAGGGTTCGAGCCCACGCCGGCGCACACCTGATATCTATGGTCGGCCTGCAAAATTTGGGCTACCGATATCCATGCTGAAAATTCCATACCTGTACCAAAAATACAGTGTGGAATCAAGCTGTAAATCAAAAAAAAAATCAAATAAAAAACTGCTGCGCATCTATGCAGAGTTGTGCGTTTCAACCAGTCATATATATATATATATATATAAACGAAGCAAGAAGGTTGTGTCTCTGTCTCTGTCTGTCTGTTTTCGTCATAGAACTTTGCACAAATGTGCGCCAGTTCAAGTCGCCACACTCCGTGTAGCACGCGAAGCAAGAGAAGAAAGTACAAGAAAAGCATAATAGAAACAGTGAGCAGAGGTGTGAGACAAAGGAATAATAAAGAAAAACAAAACAGTTTCATTGGTGGAAATCATAAATCACAAGGAGTGGATGCATCTGCGCCACTGAGAACGATTTTGAGCCATGTCACCAATTGTTTCCAACCATAGATTTTTACCGTCCCGAGGACCCCAGCCTGGAAGTCTACACCTTCCTACGTGGCTTAGACCAACTGTTGTGTATTTCATATCCATGTGTTGTGTGAATACCTAGATATGATTATGAGCAATAAATTGTGCTGTAAACGCCATCGGTAAATATTATTGTATAACACTGTGTGACATTTTCCAAATAAATCTTAAATCTCGAAAAATACCTATTTATTCATAAGTAAAAACACAGTTATTTTGTTCAGCGAAGAAATTTCTTTTCAACGACTTCATTTTCAAGCCAACTCTACAGTCGTATTTATATTACAGAAAAAGGTTATTAAGTGGCACTAAATAATTGCTCAGTCAATGTACGTATATATGTGATAAAAGTTATAAGGGGTAGAGTTGAAGTGGATAAATTACAAAAATATTAAAGATTGTTCTATAACAAAAATATCAAGTGTTGTCTAAAAATTATGAAAATTAGGAGTACCATTACGATAAGAATGAAGATGTGAAGTGAAGTGGAAAGAATTCAAGTGGTAAAATAAAATAAAATAAAAACTAGAAAGAACATTATTATGACCAAGGTGAAGAAAGGGGTTTGACCAAACGCTTTTGAACACATAATTTAGGTTTCTGTTCATGTATAGCTAAAGCTTCGGCTATGCATAAGTGAAGAAAACGTAAACTTTTGGATCGATTCGATTTTGCCATGTAGATAACTTTGAAAGATGAATCACGTGGGGCTAAATGACCAGACTCTAACAGGTGATCACAAATAGACGACTTCGCAGTTCTACTTTCGCCTTTCATTAACCAAACCGTATAGTGTTCAGCTACACGTTTTCGGAGATTACGCTTACAACGTCCAATATAATCAGCTCCACAAGAGCGGGTAAATGAGTAAATGCAAACAGATGTGGACAAAAGCGGTAATCTATCCTTGACGCATTGTCTGATCATATTTCGGCTGGTAAAAACTAGTTGCAGGTCAGCTGCAGGAAAAGTACGTTTAACGCATTTAGATAAACGATTTTTAATCAATTCTGAAATGGTGTCACCTTTGAATGCTAGACTCATAAACAGCTTTTTCTTTGGTACTGTGACTTGTCTCGCGGCGGATTCTTTCTTGATGTTACGTTCAATGAACCTTGTAGGATAACTATTGTTAAGGAGATTTGATTGAATGTTATCTAGTTCTCTATCGATTGTCTCTGCAGAGCAGATTTTACGAATCATGGAGCATAAGGAATGAATAAGATTTCTCTTTCTCCCTAAAGGTACCCAACTGTTGATGTTTGCTGGAGTGTGTTTTTTCTTAAATACAGATTGGATATTGGATTGGATCCCAGTGGCTCAATGATCTACAAGCTAACTCGCCTTGTAATCAGAAGGTCCTGAGTTCGAACACCTGTGGTGGATGCGTACTGCCTCATGATGAAATCCTCCAACTGATCAAACTAAAAAAAAATCCCTACAAAAACACATTATTATTGTCGTTATTTTCAACCTTGAACAAATGTCTAGTCCACGCCATTCGTTGGCTTTTCTTCTGTAGTGCATTGGTGGTACAGTGTTTATGAGTCTCGCCGATTATATACACTGTCCGGGGTTCCACCACTTGCCGACGCACACCTGATATCTATAGTCGGCCTGCAGGATTTTGGGCTACCGAAGTCACATGCTGAAAATTCCATACCTGTACAGAAAAATACGGTGTGGAATCAAGTTGTAATAAAAAAATTCAAAAAATTTTGTTTCACACACACTGATTACATTCATTCCCGAATGCTGTACTTTTGTTAATTGTATATATACATACACACATCATTAATTTAAGTGTTGGTTTGTAGGGATTTGATTGGATTCAGGATTTCATGATGAGCTGACATTAGTTAGAGAACCATTGGAAAACCTGGGAGTACTGGACAACCGTTTCTTCCTAGTGTGGGACTCTTCATCGGCACGCACCCACTGGGCTGGCCTTATTCAGGTAGGTAGTTACCTGGGTTCCAGTGGGAAGTCGTGACCAGTAGGGTGCAGCGGGTCGGTGTGAGGACAAATACTCGCCGAAGACATTGGCTAGCGGTCACGCTATGTCGTGAATTGGCAGAAGTTAGAATTCAAGGACCATTGGATCGGGTCCCAGTGGCTTGATTGTATACGAGCTCGCCTTGTAACCAGAAGGTCCTGGGTTCGAACCTCCTGTGGTGGGTGCGTACTGATGAAGAGTCCCAAACTAACACGAAACAGCTGTCCAGTACTCCCAGGTTTTCCAATGGTTCTCTAACTAATGTCAGCTCATGATGAAATCCTGAAACACATCATTAAATTATTTCATCTAAATCATCTGTTCTCATTGACCATGCATATAAAAAGAACTAACTGACTATTGTGAAATGGGAGACACTGGTGATGATTAGTAATAATAGATTCGTAGAATGTGGGGTAGGAAAATTCACAAGTTAGTCAGTTCAAGGTTATAAAGTGTGTCAGGTAAATGAGTGGCTAGTACACAGTGGTATGTATCAAACAGAAGGAGAAAGTGAGACTGCAATGACAGGTTCAACAGGGGGAAACTAACTGCATAAAAAGCTAGATCATGTCACATTTGGTCGATAACGGACATAGCATCGACGTCAATACAGTTATTATTATTATTCGTCATAATTTATGCCCTTTATGCAAACATTCTCTCAATACTGTCGAATTTTCCATTTATACTATCTCGACTTACTATTATTAGTGATATTATCTCTTTTCTCAATGTATGCCTCCACCTGTTTCATTTCACATATTCGTTATCTCACTATGAACCTCTCATTGCAGTCTTACTATCTCCTGTTTAACACAGACCACTTGTACTAGCCACTCATTCACCTGACACCTTTTATAACCTTGAACTGACTTGTCAATCGTTTTCCTACCCCACACTCTACAATTCTATTATGATTAATCACCACCATTGTCTCCCGTTTTACAATATTTTGGTAATCGATTTCAGCCTAGCACGACGTTTGTCACACAAACACGACTATTTATTTTGACACCCAATAACTACTAATCTGTTATTCTACGTTAAAAAGTGTATCCGCCACATAACTGGCTATCGTTATTATAACGACCACAAATATTATATTTTATAATTGTAAGAATCTGAAGAGGAGAAATTATTGAAAAGAATATTCTTCGTTCAGATTGACTTTTAATTCATAATATGGGAATATTTCCCACAATGAAATCTTTTCTGATTATTCTTAAATCGTTAATGTAACTCTGTGTGTTTTAATTGACCTTTATTTTTCTCGTGTAAACTGAATTGACAAGTGAATGTGGAAGGGATAAGATTGTTGTTCGAAATGTATATTGCACTCAGATATATCACACCAGATTTTTGAGATAATCATCGCCTTGTAATATCACTCACTATCCAAGGATTCATTAAATCCTGTTTTACTGCCCCTTGTGGCTAGCTGTGAATGTGTATAGTAAAAAGAAATATATTTGCAAAAATTTTCTTTCTTCTTCATTTTTTAAACACTTACCTGATCTAAAAATAATGCATTCATCAGTGAATCCATTGCACCAGAGATTGTCAACTCTCCACGTAAACCCAAACGTAATTCACGAAGTGATCGACGGATTTCATTAATTAAAATATTCATTCGTTCACATTCTTGTAATACAACTACAGTGTATGGACCACGCTCCTCTGGTGCTTGTCTAGCATACAATTCATTCATAGGAAATCCATCCGATAGACGATCTAGTAAATCTTCTATAAGACTATTCAATGTTTCTTCACGACTTGGTGCATCACTGACATCCGTTCCACTGTCACGTGGTTGCAGTTCAAGGACAACACGGAATACACGTTCAGCTGATTTCGTTAAAAATTCAATCTCTGCATTTGGATGTAAACCGTATAGGTAAGGCGATTCAGGCGGTAAATACTTATCAATATAGGCATGATAACCAGCATAGTCTGAATTTGGTGGGACAAGAAATCCAGGCGATAGATAGAGATCACCATCAACCTAGAATTAGATGAAAGTAGAATTTTATACATCTCATCCAACAGTTATACAACAATGCTACATACCAAGAAAATCCACAACCGGAAACTTACGGAATCCTTCGAAGTGAGTACGGGAGTAAGGCAAGGATGTTTACTATCGTCAATGATTTTCCTGATTGCAGTAGATTGGATAATGCGAAAGACAGCGGGAAATGAGGAAACAGGCATAAAATGGACCCAAACAAAAGTCAAGTAGTCAGTCCATGGTAGGCAAAGGCTGAAGTCTGTTGTTCTTTTTCGTACGCATAGTTTAGGATGTATGTGAATAATCCACAAAGGGCTTCCATCACCTTCAATCACCAACCTTGAATTAGAGTTATGCAATGAAATAATTATGAAGCAGTCATTAATATTGATTTTGCGATCTGGCATTAATAATTGCTTTGCAATGGATGACGCTGATGGATTTCTATTCAGATTAATTGCACTGGGTTTTTTTTGTGTGTTTTAATAACCACTTTGGAACATGTTCATTTTGACGACCACATTCGAACATTCTATTGGTTCTACGTATATGGGTGTCACCGCAACTGCAGGTTTAGCCTGTAGATGCAGTTCGACGTAGAGTTCATAGAATTTCGTCCTTTAATCGTAGGTAAAGAGATAGAAAATGTTCGGTATGTGAGGGAAAGAGATACTGTGTAGAATGTGAGCTTGATGACTGACCAAGGTCTTTGGGCTGTCAACTGCATAATTTAATCACCCTTGAATGGTGGGTAGGTTAATAAATGTAGCTTTCTTTGGTACAATAGCTGTCTTCTCAAAATTTGGTCTATCCTTACTGTGACAACTGATAAAGTTTTCTGGATGATCGTTACCTAATAAAACTGAATGTATATGTCAAAGCTCATCCATCAATGTGTCGCTCGTGCATATTCTATGAGGCCTTGGAGACAAACATTTCCCTAAGCGACGTTTATACTGGATAGGAACAGAACTAGTGAAATGAAGATATTGTCCACACCATGTCTGTTTACGAAATATAGATCGCTTAATCGTTCTATCGTTTCTCCTGATCATTGAAATATCCAGGATACTGAGTTTGTTTCAAAATTTTCACTAATACTAACTGAGTTATTATTAAATAAATTATAATTATATTTCAATAGTTTACACGCAATGCTATTATTATTCATCATATAATGACCGATTTTTTTATTCGCCTACGCCTAATTATATTAACATCCAATCAGAATTAAGTATTCTTCGCGGCATGACCATATAGGCTGTAAGTGACAGCCAATCAGGATTAAGTATATAGCCTAGATGGCGGGTGTATAGCTATTATGATTCGTTGATTAAGAAGACAATTGCAGCGAAGAAAATTTTCTTTTCGACGAAGTCATCATCTAGGCTGTACATTCGTGTATTTATATCAAATGGATAGGAAAGTTCCAGAATAATATCCGGTCAAGGGTAAAATTAGTAAAAATTAAAATTAGGAATTAGAATGCCATAATAAACAGGGGGATGGATAAAACAAACAAAGTAGCATCATGATAGCTAATAAGATTGACATTGTGCAATTAGAGGTTAGAAATGTAGAAATGACAAAATAGACAGGATGTTTGGATAAGAACTAATGTGATGAATAATTGTTTATGCAATCAGGGATTAAATGTGTGGAAATAGTAGAATGACAAAATAAACACGAAGTTCGGGTATGAAAATATGGTAGTGTGAACAGGTATTAAGAAAAACTTAAAATAGCATGAATAAACAGGAAGTTTAGGTAAGAAAGGCGATGGGATGGTCATTACTAAAAGAATTACCTGTTTATGATGGCCATGGCAGGGACAGGGATTGGACGTATTTCTTTTGGATACAAAGCGTGGGTTTGAGCTTTTGTATAGCTAGCGCTTCGGCTATTCCCAGATGTCTTGATTTCACTCCCTTTGATAGGTTTGATTGAATATTGATTGTATACTATTTTGAAGGGTTTTTCGAAAGGCACTGAATGTCCTGAATTGACCAGATGTTCTGTCTCTGAACTGTATACATGCTTTTGGTCTCCTTTTACTAACCAGGCTGGGTAGTGTTCACGAGCGCGTTTTTCAAGTCGGTACATGGTACGGCCAACGTACTCAGCTCCACAAGAGAGAGTAAATTGGTATATGCACTTTGAGGTGGCCCAATGCGACGACTTGTCTTTCGCGTTCTGGCTGAATAGTTTCTTGCAGGATTACGTCGGTCGTAGGCTCGCGGCGAAGTATGTTTTCCTTAGCGATTTGGAGAGGCGTTTGCGAAGGATTTCTGCTTCAATATCACCTTTGAATTCTAGATTAAGCAGAAGTATTTTCTTTGGAACGGAATGGACTTGTTCGGAAGTCTTCTTACATTTGAGATTCTTGTCTATGAATCTTGGCGGGAAACCGTTTTCCATCAGGGTTTTTCGAAGATTACGTTGATTACAGCTAGTGTAATTTGTATATCCCTATTATTTATTCAGAACAACACTAATTAGAGAGAATAGAAGTTTCCAACGAATTCTTCTCAAGGCTCTACAATTATAAATCAATCCATTAGTGTGTAAGCCCGACAACAGCCACTGGCAAAGGCAAATTAGAACTACATCATAAAGTGTATTTTGTTGAACAAGTATGAGGTGGAATAATAACGATTTAGTTTTAATTATCAATTATAATAGTAGATCAGAGGAAAAAAAATCGTAAAAGATGATTGCAGCGAAGCAACTTTTCGTCTCAGCGAAAACATAAACAACTAGATAGCTATACATTCTTATATATATATATATATATATATATATATATATATATTACCTTGAAGAATTTTTCGAAAGGCACTGAATGTCCTGAATTGACCAGATGTTCTGCCACTGAACTGTTTAAACGCATTTGGTCTCCTTTTACTAACCAGGCTGGGTAGTGTTCACGAGCGCATTTTTCAAAAACGTCAGTTTTAGGCTTGCGGCGAGGTATGTTTTCCTCAGCGACGTTTTCCTGCAAGAAACTATTCAGCCAGAACGCGAAAGACAAGTCGTCGCATTGGGCCACCTCAAAGTGCATATACCAATTTACTCTCTCTTGTGGAGCTGAGTACGTTGGCCGTACCATGCGCCGACTTGAAAAACGCGCTCGTGAACACTACCCAGCCTGGTTAGTAAAAGGAGACCAAAAGCATGTATACAGTTCAGAGACAGAACATCTGGTCAATTCAGGACATTCAGTGCCTTTCGAAAAACCCTTCAAGGTAATATATATATATATATATATATATATATATATATAGTATATTTCCGGTTGACGCGCGAATTTTGGTGAGAGCTGTCTGCTACCCAAAAATGGTTTACAGCAATTTACGTCAATGTTTACGTCCCAAATCTTGGTCATGGGAGAAGAACAAGAACAAAGACTAACTCAACAGCCAATCACAGCAGACCTTGCGTGGGCGGATACAATTCGTAGATGTATGGTCTGACCTTCAGGGAAATAGCCACAGAGAGATGATAGAAGAACTTTCAGCGAGAAGACAACCAATTAGAAGACGCCGTTTCTCTACTACTAATAATAATGATAACGTCGGTGGCATAGCGGTTAGGACGCTTGCCGACCATGCACATGGTCCGGGGTTCAATCCTCGGCCACAGACGCACTCCTTTACCTTGCTAAGCCAGAAATAATGCTGGTAAAGAGAAAAGGTTGGGCATGAGGCTAGCAACCCCATCCTGTAAAAACTAAACACTGCTACAGAAACTTCAAGCCAATAGCTTGGAGCCCTGTGTTCCACTGGGGAACGGGAAGGAAAAAAAGAAGACGCTGTTTCTCTACTAATAATAATGATAACGAATAATAATGTACATAAAAATATATAAATATCTGTTAATTTCCTCAATAAATGATGTGTTGCCTGACCCTTATCTTCTGTTGTTTCAAAGTTATGACAAATGACAAGATTACAAACAGGGATTAAAACGGTGGTAATCACGAAAATGGACAGAAAATGTAGTCAGATAATCGTCATTGAAGAAATAACCGTTTACGATTGCATAGGTAAAGACAAATGTTGTGAGGGGGAGGTATTTCTCCTGAATACACATAGCGTTGACTTGAATTTTTGGATAGCTAGTACCTAAGCTATGCTCAGATGCCTTGATGTTACTTCTTTTGAGTAGTTTGTTGAGGTTTTGTACATAGCTTTGAGGGACTTTCAAATTGGAGCTGAGTGTCCTGAATTCATTCATCTTGTTATGTATTCACCTGTGTTCTTCACTGACGGGAGATATTTCTGGAACTTTCGAACAGCTTTATTACACATATGTGTGTATATATACGAACGTACAGCCTAGTTGATGACATCGTTGAAACAAAAATTATCTTTTCTACAACGATCTTTTCAATTTCTGCTATCATCTGAAAAATGTCTGTGTGTGTGAGTGTGGTCAATAAGAAAATGAGATAAAATGAAATGAAATAATTCAATGATGTATGTTTGTTAGATAGATCACTGAAAACCAGGGAGAGCATTAGGAGGCTGTTTTGTCTTGCCTTTGGACTCCTCAGTGCTGTTCACTTACGACCCCATAGTCGTGGATCGAACTCAGGACCTTCTGGTTACGAGACCATTCAGACATTTTTCGGTTGGAATTAAATCACTTCTAAATTCTAACGTTGTAAACTCATCATTTACTATAACTGTTATTTGTAACCCTTGAACTTACGTCTGGAGTATCCCACTTGTTGGTATGCATATTGTCTCCCAATTAATACCGTTCTCTGAGCTCGTTGGTTTACTTGCGGAGCTTTCATCGTCAACCCTTCTGGACAACATCCCCCTTCAGCGCAATTTTTAGCATAAAGTGAAATAATTTAAATTTCTTCATGAGTGATAGAATTGCGCCTCCCGGTAACCATCTCTACACATGTATTGATCATTTTTCTATTGACTTGGATTGTAAACTTTCTGGTCACATGATTTACACTTTTTATTAGTTGGTATATTTGGTCTATATATTAACGTGTTTGTTCATCGCTGGCTGATTCGTTTGAGTACCAGGCTTCTAGGAATTCCCTGACTGCATTTTTGATGTTTCCTCTGTCTAAGATTTCGACATTATCCCAATCAAATTGATGTCCATAATTGTCTATATGCATTGATACTAAAGAACATATATCATGTCTTTTCACGGCTGATTTGTGTTCCTGGATTCTGATTCGAAGGAGACGCCCACTTTGGCCGATGTAATGCCTGTTACAGTTCATCCACGGAATTTATTTTGTAAATGGTATTAATTTTATCTCTTTTGTCTGTTGGATCTTTCGGTTTGCACAATATTGAATTAAGGGATTTGACTGGCTTGTATGCTGCATCTATATCAAACGATTTAAGTATTCTAGCTGTTATTTCAGAGATATTTTTCATGTATGGTAGGATGCATTTTCTTTTGTTCTTTGATGATGGCTCATTGTTGGTATAGTGATTCGATTTTAAACACTTTTTGATGAAATTTTGTGGATAACCATTCTTTTTGAAGACCACTTGTAAGTATTTTTCTTCCATTCTTTTCAACTCTGGAGTGCTACAATGTGTTTGAACTCTTCTAAACAATGTCTGCACACAGTTTCTCTTGTGAGTAATTGGATTGTTGCTAGTATAGTTGAGTATTTGATCTGTGTGCGTTGATTTTCTATATACTTGTGTTTCTAAATTTCCTGTGTTGTTTCAGCGCAATTTTTAGCATAAAGTGAAATAATTTAAATTTCTTCATGAGTGATAGAATTGCGTCTACCAGTAACCATCTTTACATATGTATTTATCATTTTCTATTGACTTGGATTGTAAACTTTCTGGTCACATGATTTACACTTTTTATTAGTTGGTATATTTGGTCTATATATTAACGTGTTTGTTCATCGCTGGCTGATTCGTTTGAGTACCAGGCTTCTAGGAATTCCCTGACTGCATTTTTGATGTTTCCTCTGTCTAAGATTTCGACGTTATCGCAATCAAACTGATGTCCATAATTGTCTATATGCATTGATATGAAAGAATATATATATATATATATATATATATATGTATATATCATGTCTTTTCACGGCTGATTTGTGTTCCTGGATTCTGATTCGAAGGAGACGCCCACTTTGGCCAATGTAATGCCCGTTACAGTTTATACAACTTATTTTGTAAATGGTATTAATTTTATCTCCTTTTTCTGTTGGATCTTTCGGTTTGCACAATATTGAATTAAGTGATTTGACTGGCTTGTATGCTGTATCTATATCAAACGATTTAAGTATTCTAGCTGTTATTTCAGAGATATTTTTCATGTATGGTAGGATGCATTTCCTTTTGTTCTTTGATGATGGCTCATTGTTGGTATAGTGATTCGATTTTAAACACTTTTTGATGAAATTTTGTGGATAACCATTATTTTTGAAGACCATTTGTAGGTATTTTTGTCTTCCATTCTTTTCAACTCTGGAGTGCTACAATGTGTTTGAACTCTTCTAAACAATATGGGTAATTGCTACTATAGTTGAGTATTTGATCTGTGTGCGTTGATTTTCTATATACTTGTGTTTCTAAATTTCCGGTGTCGGTTCTCCTGATTAAGACATCGAAAAATGGGATTTTGTTATGTAATTCTTCTTCTCTTGTGAATTTGATGTCTTCAAATATGTTGTTTAGGAGCTTATGGGCATATTCTAAATCATTTTTCTTAATTATTACAAGTGTATCATCAACGTAACGTACCCAGATTTTCGGTTTAATTGTGGGTAGAGGTATTAATTCTAATCTTTGCATGACGACTTCAGCTATTAATCCTGATATGGGTGATGCCATTGGTGTTCCTTTTATCTGCTCATATATATAAATATATATTCATATTGTCTCTCACACCAATGAGACTACATTCAACCCTTAAAACTTGTGCCTTCTATTGGCTTCATTTCACTCGATCTCATCTTCTTTTTGACTGCACATATTCTAGATGAAAATCAAAACTAACGGACTGTTGTTCCCTCTTGTACTCATACCATGCAATCCACTTTCTGATATAACTCTAATTTGCCTTTACTGACTGCTGTGAATATATTGCTGAAATTAATGAATTTATGATTTTGGAGCACGAAGAAGAATTCTGCTGAAACCACAGTTTTTTCCTGGAGTCCTAGTGAGAAATTGTGACTAGTGAGGTCCAACCGGCCAAGTGTGAGGATGGATTTCCCACCGATGATATTGGTTGGTGGTCACGTTAAATCACGAATTGGTAGAAGTTAGAATTCATGAGCAGGCTACCGAATTGGGTCCCAGTAGCTGAATGGTATACGAACTAGCTTTCCTTGTAACCGGAAGGTCCTGCGTTCGAACCCTGTCAGCGGGTGCGTAGTGCTGGTGATTCCCAAACCAGGATGAAACAGCTGGCTGTCTACTAATCCCTCACTGTTTTCACTGGTCTGTCTGTCTGTCTGGATTCAACATAGAACTTAGCACCGAAGTGCAGCACTTCGAGTTACCACGTTCCAAATAGCACACAAAGGTAGACAAGATGAGTGGAGAGAATTAATAGTTTCACAAGTATAAGAGTGAAACAGAATGGGTAATGGTAGAAAGGAATATGAAAGATTACAGAGACTGAATACATCTTCGCCATTGACAGCGACTTTGAGCCATATCACCTATTGTCTCCAGCCATTGATTCCTAGAGTCCCGGGGCCTCAACCCGGAAGTCTGCATCTCCCTACCCGACTCCAGTTCAACTGTCAATGATTTCATGGATTGATGAGGCCATGTTTTTGTTTGGCCACCACTTACTCTTTTCAAACCCGCACTTATATCAGCTAGTAATGCTCGTCGGGGGAGGCGATGGTTAGGCATGCGCACCACGTGACCTAGCCACATCAATCTATGTAACTTTATAGCCTCGTCGATTGATTTTCCCTCTTTGCCCAACACTCTACGCCTAACGTCAACATTACTTACCTTATTAAACCACCTAACGTGAGAAAGAGATCGCTAGTTTACTGATTCTGTAATTGATATCACCCCGTGGTCACACTCGTTAAAAAAACAAATCAAACTCTTGAAAATTTCGATTATCTTTTTGTAACTTACTAAATCAGGTTGTAAATATTCTTGTAAAAATGTTCTACATAATCGTCTATCCCAATCATCAGTTATATGCCCACCATACATAATTTCACCAAATAAATATCTCAAATCTTCCCATGGTACTTTATTATTTGCTTCTAAATAATTATATAATACATCTAAACAAATACACAAATCTCCAACATTGAATGGATATGTACGATTCCAACCTTGTGAACCAAATTTACTACGTTCGGTAACCACGGCATGAAAATAACATAGAGCAAATAAAATTGGTTTGAATTCTGCTTCTTTTGTACAACGTTCAAGTGTTTCCTGTACACATATATTTATTTCAAACAAGAAAAATAACAAAACAAAAAGAAAGCAATAGAGTTCACTAATCCCATTTGTTTCAATGAATTAACTGGTCGGTTTCCAATGGAAACCATTGTTTACACTAAAAGTAAACTATTTATAAAGTACTAATTAGCTTCAAAATAATATTACCATAAACTGCACAGTTAACAGGCCATTGACTGACTGACTGAGATTTCTACGTAGAACTTTGGGCAAAGTTTTACAATAGCATCTTAAGGGATGCAAACGCACAAGTGACCTTTAGACGACCAATCAGAAAATAGGAGAATTTTTGCATAAAATTTTACGCATATATACACAAAAAAGCATGAAAAAAAACATTTTACAGGGTATTTTTGTCTAATATGAGATAAAAAGGTCTCCCAACTATATTGAGGAGTTTCAGTGTTTAAACTTAACCAATTTCTATACATATATTCATCCAGATGACTAAAATTAACTTGGTTTTGAGAGGCGTTTAAAGCTGTGATTCTATTTTTTAGTCTTCCCCAGAAACTTTCGATTGAATTAAGTATGAGTACGAGTTATGGGATCGACAAAGTTATCCGAATGGTTGACTCGATGATGTATATATCCAAAATCCGATAATCGATTATATCCTGCCCATCCATCAGTGTGAATGGTAGGGCCTGGCAACACCAGCCTTTGAATAATAGGGAGGAGTGTATCAGCACTCCTATCTGGAATAAGTTCGATGAATCCTTTCCGAATCTGGGTGTCGTAAATTGCCAGAACCCAAACGTTATTTGCCCTAGCACGTCCCCGATCGGACTTCTTCTTTATAAGCACAACACTGACTCCTCCCAATACTTGAGTAACACTATTCATTTTCCACGACGCTATATCTCGACAAAACTGGAACCATTGCACAGTAAACGTTAACGTATTATCTGTTTGAGCCTCATTTGGCCTCACCCCGGACTTTAAAATCCAGTAATGGCACAGAAACAGGATATTGGTCAACGAAAGTTTCGATTTTTCAAAGAAAGTTCCTAAAAGACAATTAACTGAGAGTGTCCCTTACCATTACGAACGCTAGTTCGCTTCCTAAACTGTGTACATCTAAATATATATCCATCAATGACCTGGGTATACGGCTGCAGGTTCATAGTATAACCACAATTACATATCCGATACGTCCTATTAATCCATTATCTAGGCAGTATTGAAATACGTGATCTGGGTGAAATTTGCATCGGAGCAGATGAACAGGGTAGGTTTCCTCAACCAACGACTAGCAAGCGTTCAACGTCATTTGAGCGTTCGCACTCCTGGGACGCTATTCTTGAACTTCACCGAACTTTGTACAGAAGTGTAGACCTTCAACTTGTTGTCCTTCATATAACATTTAAACGTAGATAAGGAGAAACATCCAAGGGAGACGAAATAACTAAATACAGGAACATGATATTTCAATAGATCTGAGATGTCATAAAGAATGAATGCATCTGCGCTCTTTCACCTACAGTCTCAAACAACTGGTTCTTAGCTAATTGGAGAACACAAACAAGCTAACATTGCTTGATAATGAAGGCTGGACATATGTAACACATATTCTAGCCATTTCGATTGAAAACAAAACACGTAGTTCAACGAAGAGTCTCTTTTTGGAGAATTCATTTTCTTATCTTCTTTGGGTAGAGTTGCGTAATACGAAAACGGTCCGGAAAATTAGGTGTTGATGCAACTAGTGTAGTGGCAGTAGCAAAAGGTGATAAGTTGTGAAAAACGGTTGTTAAAAAGGAGTTACGTAATAATATGAAGAGTTTGATGATTGAATTGTGCTCAGGATAAACATAGGAACAAAGTAGAGAATACGAAATTACGTAAGAGTTATAAATGAATACAAGAATTATAAGCAATTAACGAAACACACAATTAAACAAAGTTATAGCGAAAATATTCATTCAGATATCTATAAAACACAAAATGATTGAGCAAAGAATATCCTTTTCGATAAATTCCTCTTCTGGCTCTACAATTATATGTGCATGTTTATATACACAGAATATTCTAGATTAGTAGTTAATAACAATATTAGTGTTTTTTAAATTATATCGATCCGTTAAATAAGATCAATGGAATTATCACAGATCATTAAAGATGCTTAAATTATAATGATAATAAAGATATAGTAGCAAATAGAATATTAGCTAAAATTAGGAAAATTCCACAAAAAGTCAGGATTATTCAAACCTAGATGGCCAAGGTAAAGCTAATATCTTTTGGACGCACAAATTAGGCTTCTTAATATGGATCCCCACAGCCTCAGCAATATTTAGTAGTCGAACTCTTAAGGCAAAATTGAGATTCGTAGGTATGCGGTAAATGACCCTAAAAGCCTGGTTAACATCAATCTTGCATTCTGTATTCACAAGATGAGATAGAATAGCGCTGCGAATAGATTTTGTTTGTCTTTGCTTAACCACACTGGATGATGTTTCGAAATTCGACGAGGAAGATGCCTAATTGTACGGCCTATGTAACTGGCTCCACAGGAGCAGTTAAATTGGTAGATGATACACATGGAAGAGGCGAATCGGTATTATTTAAAAAAAACACTCATATTGTCATCGACTACTAATCTAGAATATTCTATGTATATAAACATGTATGTATATGTATATAGTTGTAGAGCCAGAAGAGGATTTTATCGAAAACAAAATTATGTCATCGAAAATCAACAAAGTTTTTTCCATGATAATAGAAGTGGCTGAGTAATTCTCTTTCATAGGCACAGCTCCAGTTTTTCTATGTGAATGGCGAGAGCTTCAGCGATACAAAAAGAACGAAACTGTATTGCCTTTGGTAAGTTATTCTTGACTCTGTAGATTACTTTGTAGCAGGAGGCGTTTGTTGTTGAGATAAGATGATCAATGTTAACCAGGTTTTCAATTATCGCACTCCTTATAGCACCAATATTGCCTTTTCGCAACCATGCTGGTTAGTGTTCTTGAATCCTCTTGGACATAGTGCACCTCGAACTACCGATTTACTTGGCTCCACAGCAGCAGGTGAACTGATATATGCACATAGAAGTGGTCAGATGCGGGGTGTTGTCCTTGAGGCTTCTGAAGATCAGTGGGCGACTGGAGAACACTATTCTTGGCAATACTGCAAAGAATAATCTTCTCATAGATGATATGATCCTTCTCTTGAAAATATTGCTTACTGAATCTCCCTTGAAATCTAAGTTCATGGAGAGTTTGTTTTTCAGAGCAAGTATAGTTTCATTCCTCTAAATTCTTAGTTTGATATTTTTGTCAATCAATCTTGGTAGGTATCCATTTTGGATGAAGAATTCTCTTAAAAGGTCTAATTCTTGAAACAAGCTGGCTTGTTTAAATCACTGGGTTCTACAAATGTTCAATCCATCAAAATGCATTGTAGTATTTATTTACTCCGTTCCATATTGTTTTAATCAACTAATTACCCTTAATCAGTGACAATATATGCTCGCGCACAACTTGAATTACGTTTCTACCCTATTGCTAAGGATTTTTCGAAAGAAATGGAGGCGAAATATTGTGGAATAGTATCACAGGATGCTTTGAATGGAATGATATTACTTCAGACAATATACATTGTTGGTTATTGTAATGTTTTGAAAATTCTGCCCAAGGAGTAAATAACTTGTATGTGTCCAAACCAAGTTCACTTTTAACAGTTTGAAAATATTTGGGCATTCAGGTATATGATATTCATTATAATAAAGTTTTTCTTGTATTTCCCAATCAATGAATGAAAAACAAAACGATATTGTTGTTTTTACTGACGTTTCGCTTTTTAATGCTACTGATAATAGCTTTATCAAAGTAGTATTATTAAACCGGAATTCAAAAAATCTCCTCAGCTTGTATATGACAACTTAATCATCATTCCTCAGTATGGGGTAATTTTGCATTGTCAAATTGGCCAGTTGGTAGAGACAACAAAATCAAGTCCAGATTGTTGGATTTGATAAGTTTGCCAATTTATAAAAGCAGCGGGTGTTTACATGATGAAATTGCTTATCAAATTGCTGTTGATTTCATCACTTCATGTGAGAGGGAGGGGTGTTGTAACCACGTCATATTCTGTTTTAGTCCGTCGTTACTATTCATCAGACAATTTAGATCCCATTTGACATCTAAGTAGGTCGTCAGGAAATCCTGTCTGAGTTGTGTTTCGCACTTGTCAAGTGTTGGTTTTGTAGGGATTATTGTTTCATTGGTTGGAGGATTTCATCATGAGTTAACCTCAGCTAGAGAACCATTGGAAAACCAGCTGAGACTATGGTCAGATATCTGTTTCTTCAGATTAGTTTGGGTCTCTTCATTAGTATGCGCATACCGGAGTTCGAACCCGGGACCTTCTCGTTACAAGGCGAGCTCGTAGACCATTAAGCCACTGGGACCCGATTCAGTGGCCAGTCAGTGCATGAATTCTAACTTCTGCCAATTCACACACGATGTAGCATGACCAATTCGCAGTGTCCGCTTCGACAAGTTACTGTGTGATCTTCAACCTGTTGTATCTGTAACTGGCCATATCTTCTCACTAGAAACCCAGGTTAACTGCCTGAATAGGGCCAGTCGCTAGCGAGCTTCAAACTAATTTTCAAGTATTGGTTTTGTTTGATTGGATGGAGGATTTCATCATCATCATTCATCTACGAGCTTGCCTTATAACCAGAAGGCCCTGTGTTTGAACCCCTGTAGTGGGTGCGTGCTGATGAAGAGTTCCAAACCAGGCTGAAGAAATAGCCATCTGGGAGTACTCCCAGGCTTTCGTACTTGTCACCACTCATCATCAAGACATGTGTTTACCCTTTTCGAGTCTCATATCCACGTTATTTAATGATAAAGCTAACAATTACAATAAACCTATGGCATATACTACTAAAAAGATTTATCAGCCGTATATAAATATCAAATAGCGGAGAGACTGATTTGATGCCAAAGGAGAGGAAATGAACCACGATAGTATTGAGGGGAAATATGAAAGACACGCAAAGAAGACAGTGAAAAACAATCCTAAGGGCAAAAGTAGCCCAACGCAGAATATCTGTGCCAGTGACAATTTTAATATATATGGCATACATAGTTTCCTTATATGTGTGTATCAAATTGTAAATAAGCATTCCGTCACCAACCAAGGAAAGGTGGCATTCGCCTGCAATCTAGCTACTTGGAGGCCAGGGTGGGGAGTTTCGTGGTGCCGAAGGGCTCTTGCATAAGGGTGCTCATATTGATCAAGTGTCTACGCTAAGCACAGCATCGGTATGGACAACCTGTCGGAGGGCGCTGGCTTTCCAGATCGATTAATGGAGGCCACGGTAGTGTAGCGGGTAGCACCCATCGTATTGTGTGTTTCTTTGTCTTGTTTTCGTGTCTCCCAAGTTTCGCTGCCATTTCTTCTCTTTGACGTCAGATCTCTTCATCTCTCCGCTATTTGATGTTTTGTGTGACTGAACATTCCTTCATATACTACTGATAAATCTCGTTAGTAGCACACGCCAAAAACCATAGTTACATAACTCAACTCTCAAATGGCTTACCTGATTAAAGTTATCCAAAGCTTTGTGTAAATTAGCCAGCATACCTGTAGGCGGTTCATTAGTTATCTTGATAGCATTTTCTAATATCCCTTGTGGAATAATATGCGCTGATACATCGGCTGCTGGTTCTGCACTAACAAATACCCGATAATCTGGATGTGCATCTTCTGCATATTGCTCTAAACGTTTCTCTAGTGTACTTAACCAACGTGCAACTAAGTGAATATTTTGTAGGACAACCCATGCTCCATTCTTTGCTGCTGCCTCTAAAGCCTGTTCAGCAACAATCTCTTGACCTTGTCCAAGTGATATATTATGAAAATTACCCTGTTCAACAGTGAAACCAAGTTTATGCCCCAGCACTTCAACATCTTTCAATGGATCAACCCCAGGAGATAATATAAAAAAGATTGGTACAGCTGGTCCAGATTCTTTAAATGATTTAGCCAATTCAATTTGTCGACCTTCAATAAACTTTGCACCAAATGTTGTCCCAATATAATGCCTCAGTGCATATGTCATTCGATCATGTCGTAAAGCACGCATCATACATAATTTTTCAATAGCACTTTTATTTTTCCATTCTTGAGGGAATTTCTCTTTCTCAGGGGCTTCACTTTCAAGAAATACTTTCCAACGTTTTGCTGAAGCGATAATATCTTTGTCCAAGTCACGAAAATTATTCATTTTCACTAGAGTTTGTACACCACCCCAATTCAAGTCATTTAAAAAGTCAACAGGACTTTGTACATCTGTAACGACGGGATATCTCAGCAGAAAATCCATTAGAATTGGTGGTATTTCTTTGGATGTATACTGAATTTGTAACACCATTAAGACAGTGAAGACTAATTTATCGCGTTCAAATAAACCGCGAGTTGTATAAATAAATATTGAATATGTGATATTATCTAAGAGGAATAATAAGCGTTCTTTATCATTATCTGATTGTTCTGCAGTCTCAATCGACAATTCAAAGACAGTACGGAAGGCTTTCAATGAGAATTGATACATTGGATGTATCTGGCATAAATCATTCATAACAAAATAGATCAGAGCAGCACGTTGAGCAGCTGGTCGATAGTGTTCACGAGCAATATTGATCTCTTTCTCGGTTATCTTCGATTCTTTCACTTTTTCTTCAATATCTTTAGCTGTCTTTTTATTTGTCTCTAAATTTTCAACCAAAGAATGATCACCAAGAAAATTCCCATCGGATGAAGATAACTTGGCCAGTAGAGAATCCTCAAGTTGTTTCAATGTGATCTTAAATTCATTTTGTTGTTTTGTTAGATTAGATTTTAACTTTTCTAAATCTGGACGTTCTTTACTCACAACTGTTGCTAACAATTGATCTTCTAAACCATCACGTGTTACTGTGAAGTTGATCAGTGTGGCTTGTGCTTGTAATTCTGGTTGATAATGTGGATTGGCTAGTTTTGTTTGTAGAATTAAACGGAAATTAGCATTGTATGGGATTTCTTTATCACCCAGTAGGATAAATCGACCTTTTTTAATTGTCTGCCGTCCAATTACAGGATCTAGAATAGGATCAATAGTCTCACCGATATTTTCAATTAATACAACACGTCCATCTGTAATAGCTAATTCAATTTGTTCTAAACAATTTTTAGCGCCAAGCCGTGTAACGACTAATTCATTGCCATATTTAACCTTGATCCATTTAATCGCTTGTAACTGGGGATCAACACACAATGGCCAACGTTCACAAAATGTAAATATTGTAGCATTTTCAATAGACATACGATCCTCTGGTAAAGATTGATTATTCCATGTTGCAATGATTGCATCATCAATCAGCATATCTAAAGGATCTATTCCATTACGTACAGGTATTGGTACCTGGAGACTTTTCAGAAATGGCCACAATTTAACATTCAACAGCTGTTGACGAAATGTTCGACTTAAATAACCAAAATAAGAGATAAAACTTGTTGTTATTAAAACATCTCCGACAACTGTCTCACCGAGTACCTTTAATTCTTCAACTTGATTTGCCCATCTTATATTTTCTGAGGCAAAACCATTCACCAATCGATTGGCTAAATCTAATGTTTTAGCCGTAAAATCAGCTTCTTGTTGACAGCGTAACTTTTCTTCAGTAGCCTCGCGGAAGTTGGCTGTTAACTCAGCTAACGATGCTTCAAGCACAGCGATTTTCTTTTGTAAACCTTCAAGTTTCTCCGTAGCTTGACGTAATTCTTCGTTGGCTGCATCCAAGGCATCACGTTTCGGTTTTACTTCACAGTAGACATCATGAAATTTCAGGATATTGATTACCCATGAACAGAGACCAGCAGCAGCCAACGATTTAGTCCGAATTACATCAGGATCGAAATTTGGCATTTTAACATACTCTGAAGCTGCAGCCTTACTATTCGCTGACATATTCTCCTTGTCGTAATTTAAGAGATTACTTAAAAATTGATCCGCTTTAGACATGATACCAGCTTTAGCAGCTTTCCAACTTCTATCCTTTGGCAGTCGACCATCCATGGCGAATAAACACATGACAGCGGAACAAACAGTCACAACATCTGGTGGTGGACTAGTCAATGCCTTCAATTCAGACAAGTTATTTTTATTCAGTGTATTCAAGGCTTCTTGGGCGGCAATCAATGCTGGTTCTGCTTTACGCAGATCATTTTCACACTCTTGTTGTTTCACTTCAACTTCTGCTTTAATAACACTGACTTTTGCTTCTTCTTCAGCGGCAATTTCTTTTTCAGCTGTCACCTTTTCAGTTTCTTTACCAACAACAATAATTAGTTTATTGGCATTTTCAGTTTTTTCATTGACAATAATTTCTTGTTCAGCCAGTTGAACTTTTAATTCACTCGTTTGTTCACCAGCACTTTTTAGTCGTTCTAAACCATTGACTAAACGTTCAATCTTGTGTTGTAGCTCATCGATCTGTGCACCAACCATACGTTTGTATAGACTAATTTGTTCTAGAAATGATTTTGGTGTTGTATAGTTATGACGTCGTTCTTTCTGGAGGTATTGTTGACTTAATTCATTGACTGTTGTATGAGCGTATGCCATGTATTGGCTAACAGATTTGCGTACTTCATCCTGAAAATGCGCAGGAAAAAAGGTGTATAGGCATACACATGAATCAATAAAAGGCACACAAAAATGTGATGCATTTTTAGCATTATTATTATTATTATTCATTGTCATGACTATTTCAAGCATCAGTCACTATCAGTGAGAGAAATTTAAAGAAGAGGTCATTTCCTTCACTTATCTAGGCAGTTTCATTTCAACTACAGGCAGTCAGAAAGGATCAGGATGTGAAAAAGCGAATCAGAAAAGCAAGGTAGACATTCATCACTCTTAAATCAAGTGTTAGTTTTGTAGGGATTTGGTTGATTGGTTACAGGATTTCATCATGAGCTAACCTAAGTTAGAGAACCATTGGAAAACCAGCTGAAAGTACTGGACAGCTGTTTTGTTCTTTTTGTTGCTGTTGGCGAGAAATCTTTGTCACTCCTGTTTTTCTATGTTCACCTGAAATCCTATCTTCTCTGGATGCTTCTTCTATCGCCAAGTTGTTGCGTTTCACTTGCATATCCTCCGGTTTATGAGAAATTGGATATAAACTGTCGGTAAAGACCATATCCTCCAAGCGTTTTGTGTAGGTCCATTTTATGTCTGTCTGCTATGTACTCGTCGCTAAATTATTGTTATGGTCTGGTCGAGAAACTAATAGTCCTGACGCGAGAAGGCGGAAATCAGAAGACCACTGGGTTTGCGATGATACTTCTATTGTCCAAACACAAGGAGACGAAAATAAAGGGTCTCACACCAAAGTGATAAGTAAGTAAAGTAAAGTCGTTCACACAAATTGTGAATGTGAATATATATAAATGTTCCAGACAAAGCGTGGGAAAAATCATCAGACAGTCTTAACATGAATGGCTAATTATAATGGAGTGTCGATCCAAATATACATAGCGAATATAGCAGACATGTGAACAACCATATATGGATATATGTCACCAAGCAACGGACTGTCAACAAACACTCATATTTTAAATTAACAAAGAAACTATGTATTTGGCACAATCATCGTGTTCCCACTCTCCGTTGTCTGCAGCGGAATGCGTATCCTAAATTCGTAGCTGTCCAGTCACCTGACAACTTCAGTAGGTCGAATAAAGCAGCTCAATTTTCAGAAAGAAGACAAAGTAATAAGTTTGACGGGGTTGTTCAACTAAACTCTAATCTTAAACACCATAATTTTGAAAATACGTCTAATCATAAAATTCTAGATACTAACAGTTTGAACAGACATGAAGGTGTGATGTTAGATGACGCATAGGAAATCCTGATTAATAAATAAGAATGGATATGTATCACTAACTAATAATAATACTTGGTCAAAGTTTCCCGATTGTCTATATCTACTTATGGAGACGTTAAGACATTGTTTTACAACTGTTTATCCGCGCGCGCACACACACACACATACACACTGTGTTTAAAGTGTTTAACAAAGGTAGATCAATATTTGTAAGTCTGAGGTCAAATTTTGATCACAACTCGTACAATTTTGTTTATTATACTTGTTAATATTTGTTTTATAAATCATGATTGGACAAGGTTTTTAAAAACTAAAGATGTTCCTTTTATATATAAACCTGTTATGTTAATTTCGATTAATTTCCCTGAAGAAGTTCGGACCAGATTGCCGAACGAAACGTTGGAATTACTCATTTCAATATCGCTGAGATTTTACAAATATAATTTTTTACAAACACTCATATTATATATAATATAATATAAGGAGAATATACATTGATAAAGGAGACAAGTTCATACCAGTGAAATGGTCACAGACAAACAGAAAGAGAGACCAACATACACACACACACACATAAATATATATATGTGGATACATATCACTGTCTCCTCGTTGCCCGCTGTCTGTCGCATTGTCAAGTTTACCACAATCAGGTAAATTATCGGAAAAATTGTAGTGGGCATCCAGCTTGTCTTACTCCCGTCTTCACTTCTTCGAAGGATTCCGAGAGTTTCCCGTAGTGAATTACTTGGCATGCAGCATAGTCGTACAACTGTTGGATGAGGTGCATAATTGTCGGCAGCACCCTGTAGTAACAAAGTAGTTTCCGAATCTCCTCTCGATCGACACTGTCTGTTGAAGGCCTTTTCAAAGCCGATGAAGTTGAGTGAGATGGAGAGCTGATTACCATTCCAAGCTCTGTTCAATAATTATCCATATTGTTGTGATTTGATTAATGCATGACTTGTTCCTCCTGAATCCAGCCTGTTCTGGTCGAAGTTTTTCATCCAGAGCGTGTTTAGACACACATTAAACTAGTTACTAACCAGCCTGAATAACTCAGTGGTAACTTCTCTGACTGACTGACTGACTGTAGCACTGAGTGACACGGGTTCAAATCTCAGAAGGAGGGACATAAATTCCTAAAAGACTGCAAATAAACCATGCTGACCGATGAATGACAATAAATAAAAAGCTTATGTCGAAGGCTTCTTGTGGATTGCCTTATGAACTAATCAACCACCACCGACTACTGTAAACTCTATACAGTACATCAGCTTTGCATAAAACACTATAACTCGACCAGTGGAACACTCCATTCTTTTCTATACTCATCGGTAATATTTAAAATTTTTATTCGCGATTTCGAAAATGTTCAGTTTCTTTCAGTGATCATTTCATCCTTTAAAATCCCCCCCCCGAAAAAGAAACTCACACACACACACAGAAAATGTTCTACTCAAAGATTGGGAATTCAACTTACTGATAAACCTGGACAATCTTCTAAGAATCTTTCTGAAACAGACAGTAAGGCTTCTTGTGGCCATTCATGGAACCAATCAATACATGTACAATTAACCAGGGCTGGGAAACGTCTTGCTCTTAGACGAAGTTTATCACCAACCGGAGAGAAGCATAAAATAACCTATAAAAATAAACGCTACTAAGGATGAGAATGAAAATTTTAGTACTTTGAAATACTTAACAATGTAATACCTACTCAACACTTGAGGAATGATTTGAATAAAGTAGACACGAAGTGGACAGTATATCTTCATTTCAGTAGTCTGGTTCCTATCCAGTATAAACGTTCCTGCTTTCAAGCTCCTATAAAATTTTCACGAATGCACACTAATGGATGAGCTAGCTACTTCAGAGATATTTAGTTTCACTAACTAATGGTTATCCTGAAGACTTCATCGTATGTCACGATAAAGAGAGATTATACCCCCTGAAAAGACTGATTCCGTACCAAAGTTATCTTTATTAAACTAATACGATTCACGGGTGACCAGACATTGCAACCGATAGACCAAAGGTTTCAGTCTGCTGTCAGACGGACATTCTACGCCCCATCCTCAGCATTTTTGTTCCCTTTACTTATGATTCAAGGACTCTACTTCATACTGTATCTACAAGTTCATCTGTGGACGCAACGATACATAGATATTGGTAGAACTAATAGAATCCTCCAGTATTGTTGGAAACACCACGTTCTAAAGGGGTTGTCAAGTTACATGGAAATTTAAAATGTAATTAATCTAAATAGAAATCCATCATTAACCAACAGCAAAGCACTAATTCATGACTGCTACTCAGTTATTTCAGGGTTGGAAGCACTTTAGATTAATCATATGCGTACTAAACTATGTATGCACAAAAATCAATAGACTCAAACCCTCGTCTATTATGGACTACTTGACTTACTTAAATATGATTGGTACTTTTGTTTCATGTCACTGAGTAACTGTTCATACATTTTATTTATTTTTTTATTGTGAACCATAGTAGTTGCACAGCGAAATTAGGGAAATTACGAAACGATGACGTCATCTCACAATATTCTGTCTTCTAAATACATCTCAACTTATTCAAGTGTTGGTTTGTAGGGATTTGATTGGTTACAGGATATCATCATGAGTTGACATTGGTTAGAGAACCATTGAAAAACCACCTGGGAGTACTGTGCAACTGTTTCGTCCTACTTCGGGACTCACCAGGGTTCGAACCAAGGACCTACTGATTACATGGCGAGCTCGTAGACCACTAAGCCTGGGGGTTCTAGTGAGAAGTCTTGACCAGAAGGGTGCAGCAGGTCGGGTGTGAGGACAAAAACTCGCCGAAGACATTGGCTAGTGGTTGCGCTACATTGTGAATTGACAGAAGTTGGAATTCATGCACTGGCTGGCCATCGGATTGGGCTAAGTGGTAAAAGAGCTCGCTGGCCTTGTAACCGGAAGGTGCTGCGTTCGAACCTCTGTAGTGCGTGCGTACTCATGAAGAGTCTTAAACTTAGACAAAACACCCGTCCAGTACTCCCAGATTTTCCAATGGTTCTCTAGTATTCCATTTTTAGACGTCTTTATGACCAGAAAAGAGAATGGCACAATAAGAGGAAGTATTTATAGAAAACCTACATCAACGGGCCAGTACACACATTTTCTCAGCTTTGTACCCTTGAAATACAAACGCAATTTGATAAAGTGCCTGGTTCACAGAACAAGAGCGATTTGCTCGGACGAATGTCTTGATGAAGAACTGAATAATATTAATCGGTTGCTAAGTTTATTGATAAGAACATGAATCTAAAATCATAGCAGCCCAAGGTACCAACAGTTTCAAAAAAGGCCTTATTCTTACAGATGAAGTTCCTTGGGGACAACACTAGCGAGATACTAACACAGCGCATTAGAAATGCAGTAAAAGGAGCATTCCCTGCTGCTGAATTACGCTGTGTTTTCAAAACCAATCCTCTTCTGCCTTCGGGAGTAAAAGATAAACTGCTTAATTTCGCCTCTTTCATGTGTATCATCTGCCAATTTAACTGCTCCTGTGGAGCCAGTTACATAGGCCGTACAATTAGGCTTGTTCCTCGTCGGATTTCCAAATATCATCCAGTGTGGTTAAGTAAAGGACAAACAAAATCTATTCGCAGCGCTATTCTATCTCATCTTGTGAATACAGAACACAAGATTGATATCAACGAGGCTTTCAGGGTCATTTATGGCATTCCGGCGAATCTCAATTTCGCCTTAAGTGTTCGACTACTAAATATTGCTGGGGCTGTGGGGATCCATATTAACAAGCCGAATTTATGCATCCAAATGAAGTTAGTTCAGACACTGTCATTACCTTGGTCATCTAGGTTTGAATAATCCTGACTTTTTGTGAAATTTTCCTAATTTTAGCTAATATTCTATTTGCTACTATATTTTTATTATTATTATTATTTAAGCATCTTTAATGAACTGTGGTAATTGCATTGATCCTACTTTGCAAATCGATATAATTTAAAAAACACTGATATTGTTATTAACTACTCATCTAGAATATTCTGTGTATATAAATATATATCTATGTATAATTGTAGAACCGGGAAGAGGAATTTATCGAAAAGAATATTCTTTGTTCGATTATTTTGTGTTTTATACATCGCGACTTAGTCTAACAGGGTATATCGTCCATGATCTCAGTCCCCAGATGGGTTAAATGACAGTATAGTGTTAAGGCAATCGTTATTTGGCTGGCAGGAGCTACTAATCATTTGAATCTTTCATGAAAGTTATTATTCATGTTAAAACGGTGTAAATGCCTTGTTATTTTATTGTTTATATCAGCCTATTTAATGTTTGTCCACTACAGTACTGAGTAGTTTCAAAGTATGCCAAGCTGATCTCCTGTGTAACAACAGAAGACAAGGGCCGGCAACAGATCGTTTTATTACGGAAATCAGCACGTATTTATATATATTTCCTGTACATTATTATAGCTTATTCAAGCAGACAAACACAATCTTTTGATTGGGTGTTTCTGGTTTCTCGGAAAGTTAAGCCATATATCTGTGAATATTATTCGCCCACGTTAAGTCTGCTGTGATTGGTTGTTGAATCAGCCTTGTTCATATCTTCTCACGGCCAATATTAGTGACCTAGACATTGACGTAAATTAATGTCTACCAATTGGCTACCGGCCTGCTCTCACCACACCTGCACTTCTATGCACAATTCCATATTGATCTGTTATTCATCGAGTATTTCTAATAGTGAATTATTGTCATTGACCATTTTTACAAGAAAAAAACAACATCAACAACAGATGTTGTAAAAGATGAGGGAATGCCATGAAGAGTCTCAGTGAGAACACCAACACTCAGTGAGGGTTGTAGATAAACCTAGTTGACGAGTTCCAAGTAGGACGAAATGCACATTCCTGTTAGTCAAATTACTCTGTGTAGAATGGGACTAATTTCATAATCTCTTGCCTACTGATTAAGGATTTGAATGAAGCGACAACAACAGCGATTTGTGCAGAATAAGATGGTACTATAATTTATTTGGTTGACTTCTCATCAGCTGAGTGTAGACTAGAGGAATCATTATTCAGTCTATGTAGAGAGCAACATACTCGCAAATATGGTGGCGTGATGTCAGTGGATAGGAGGCTCGAAACTTAATAAACAGTGCTCAGAAACCACGCTCATATGGTTTATACCCAGAAAGTCAAAATTCAGACAAAAGCAAATGCTTGGATAGGATGCGAAAGGGGTCACGTAATAAGGACGGGAGGTGAGCAGAAAGATGAATGACTGTATCAAAAGATGGAGGGGTTAAAGGCAAAGATTACGTAATCAATTGAAAGAGAGGGAGAATAAATGAATCCAGTTATGAGAGCGAAGAAATACTGGTAACCGCCTCTTTTTGAATACATAAACAGGGTTCCAGTCGTTTGATAGGTACTGCTTAGTCAAACTTAAGCAGGGATGAACTATTTTGTCTATTGATAATTTTAAAGGATTTCGCGATATCCACCTCATGATTCGCATCGATGAGATGTCTGGCAGTGGTATCATTGTAAGCATTTGTCTCTTTGAAACATGAGCTTTCTGCTACACGTGCATAAAATTGAAGGTATATCCTTCTTGATGTCTTCACAGTATAACTGCGCATACTTTAATTCACATTGATGAATAGCATTGCCCACCAAAAATATATCTATATTTTTTATAATACAACAGTTGCCTACTGATAATATATTAAGTAATATTAGACTGTATAGGCAAAAATTACTATTATCATCTAACTTACACGTAACATTTTTCGTGTCTTATCTATAAAGTATTTCCAACAATTTTCATTTGTATCAATAATTCCCATTGCTTTAACTTCTGATCGAATACCTTGTATAATCTGATCAAAATCTTCATCTTGAAAAAGATTTGGTATTTCACCTGAGGCTAAGAAATCATTCACATAGACGAGAAAGCGTTCATCTGCAACCTAATTAACAAAACAATACATAGAATAATTTAATGAATTTGTCTTTATTCAACTCTCTGATTGATTTTTATTATACCGCTTAATCTGATATAAGAAATGCGTGAATAGATGAAATGTATGCATGATGATGTATGCTACTGACTGGTTAATATTATGGTGTGTGCTACTAATAAGGTTTCTCAGTAGTATATAGATGCAGATATAAATATGTATGTCAGCTGCAAGAATATCGAATAGCGGAGGAATGGATTTAATGAAGATGATGATTGTGAATACGTGACCGCATCTACTTCTAGTCTTATTGGAGAGAAAGAATGCACATTGTACTGTCTAAAACTTTACCTTTTCCATGTTTCTGGACAGTAATTCCTCTGGTCTTTTCTGCCACCCATTCGTAGCGTCTCAGCTTCACTCTGCGAATCTTCAATTTTCTGTTCCCACTAGTTCGATTTTGGTGCCTCTTTTGAGGCTACGGTTGTGTTCCGTACCTATATTGTTACCTTCAAGGGCGTTGACAAGTTGTAGTTGCTGAGCAATATATTCTGGGACACTTTCGATAAACACCTGAGTCTCTGACTCTTCGTTAAGTTTGGGAAGCGCCCAATGACGTAGACGTGCTGGCTTCACTGCCAATACAAGTGGGCCTCCACCTAGTCCCAGCTTCATGGTACGGAACCGGTACATTGCCATGCTGCCTATATGTTGGGTCGTCGAACTCCGCTACTAACTGTTCCACCAATACCTACTTTGCAGGTTTCTTCACCACCTGCCGGCTTTACACCGTCATGCGCCGCCGCTGATCGACCTCTCGACACCGTCCCCAGCACAATCGTCTTCGCCATCAGATCCATAATGCCCACCAACTCAGCATATAAGTTCCGTAAGGGCTCCTGACATGTTCTTAGAAAGCAGCAGGTCATGAGATCTTCATTGTCCGAAGGCAGTGACACCAAATGTAACGGAAGAAGATAAGAGGATTTGGTAACAGAATTGCTTATCAGCAACTCGATACACAGATATGGACAAAATACTTCTACAACATATTAGAATCCCAAGTTGCACATATCTTCATTATTGTGCCTCTTTGTTATCTTTTCATATTTTCCATGTTGTTTCGCAATCATAGCGTTCATTGAATCAGTATTCTTATAGATGACATAGATATTTATTTCTGTATGTACACACTACTTAAAAATCTTTTCAGTAGCATACGTCACAACGAGTAGTTGAATTCAATTCACACCAACCAGTAATGCTCATTTGATATTAGAACAAGACATATAAGCGAACAGTACTGTTTTCAGTTAGATCTTCCTCAGGCTTTACTCTAAGTTACATAGATTTATATATATATATATATATATATATAAATTTTAATCAATGATGGTGAGTTTGTGGATGCACAAACTAGAAAAGATATAAGCTGATGTAAGTACGAGGCATTTTCTTCAGTGAAATTCCCACGTAATCAGCTGACTTCAACTAGAAATACATTGAAAGATTAAGGGTATTTAAAAGCTTCTTTCAAGTATTTAGGGACATTCCAACACTACAGACTTAAAATCGTCGATAAATTGTAGCCCACACTGATAGAGTCACATAATATACCATTCCATCAAGTTTTCAGAACACGGTAAACCGTATTCTTCGACTAAAACCAACTCATGATGTATGACAGCCATATTCGCATATCGTCGATAAGTAGCCATCGTCAAGTCAAAGTCATTCGTAGCCGAAAAAATGGAATTTCTGGTGAAAACTTTATAAAATACATCCTATTTTTTTGTTTTGTTTCGACACAAGTACTCAGGTTGTAAAAACAGAAGACAAAGGCCAGGCAACAGATCCTTTAATAAGGAGATCAACAGATATTTATAGATTTTCATGAACATTATTATAGATTATTGTTAGCTGACAAACACAGTCTTCTGATTGGTGGCTTCTCGCTGAACGTTAATCTTTAGTCTCTTTGTGGCCGTTTACTGAAGTTCAGATCATCTACCTGCAAACTGTATCCGCCTACGCAAAGTCTGCCGTGATTGGCTGTTGAGTCAGTCTTTGTTCTTATTTTTCTCACGAACAGTATCGGAGACGTAAACATTGACGTAAATTACTATCTACCAATTTGGCTAGCAGCCAGCTCTCACCATAAGATTAAAAACATCTAAATATCTCCATTCTAATGGACATAGTGAACAAGTAAAAAGATAAGCAGTCGTACTGTCAGTTACTCCTTATGCTCCACCTGGAACATGATGTGAAGATTCGCGGACAGTGATTATGCATACATCGGTAGAATAAAGGTGTTTGGAACTCATGAGTATTTAGAAAAATCGAGTATTCATCTCAATAGACTTTAGAATATTACAAAATGGAGCATAGGGATTCAGCGATACATCTCAACTGTACACTGTCACATTGTTTTCACCTTTCTGCGTGACTTTCAATAAGTTTTCATCTGCTCTTCATAAGATCTACTTCATGCAGCCCTCGGATCCCATGCCCAACTCGCTGCTTCCCATTTGGTTTCTGCTTAAAGCGAAGCATAGTTTGCACAGGCATGCAGAAGAAGCATACTGTGTACCCACTATAACATTTATACTTATTCCTATGTTTCGACTCACTGTGTAATTATTCTCTGTTTTTATTCTAGACTGTATATCATAATGTTCTGTTTTCCGATGTGATTTTATTTGAGTGAATCAAGGTCATTGTAACGTTGAACCACCTTAGGCAGGCGTTAGTGTGTGATTCTCACGGAATAAGTTTTTGATCCCACCTATGTTGGGAATATTCTACCTGATTCAAAGCTACTTCTTACGGTTGGCTCCTGGTTAAGTAATTTCGTTCTACACACTACTTGTTTTGTCCTTGGAATGTTCTCTTGACTGTATGGTTACTTAACAGCGTTGCTGAGGTCATTTTGAGTTTTCTACGCTATTATTGTCCAACAGAACATAAGGAGATCTAACTATGAATAACCTTTTTTTACTGCCTTTGAGCTGTAATCTACGAATGTTTGGCATGCGATTCGCTCCCGCCAAATGTAAGATAATGGTACAGGACTGGACTACACCGACTCCTAGTTTAGAAATAGGAAGTGAATTGGTTGGTGTAGCACGTTGACCGCTTCACTTATTTGGGAAGTACCATCAGCTAGTGCCAACGGGTTGATCTCTGACGAAATCTCACCAAGGATACAGAGGGCTAGTTTCCCATATGCCAGTTTACGCTGTCTCTGGAGTAGACGTGATATCCGGCTGGCTATCGACCGAAGGGCGTGTGTACTGCTCATCAGTCCGCTCCGTCCTCCTATATGGCTGTGAGCAAGACCTGGACATTGAGAGTGGAAGACATGAAAAGATTAGCTGTCTTCGATTATAGGTGCCTGCGCTCTATCTCCCGTGTGAAGTGGTATAATAAGATGAGCAATACTGAGGTTAGGCGTCCGTCGAGTGCTAGGTAAGTAGGGGAAACCATTCGATGAGGCTGTGAAGTTACACCGATTGAGATGGTTACGTATCCCTAGTCATCGCCTTGCTCGACAATGGGCAATGTTAGCTGACTGGCATAGGGTCAGGCTGGAAAAGAGCTAGCGGCGGTCAAATCAAACATGGCACCAGTCAATGAAATCTACAACAGTTAGTTTACGCCAATCACCTAGGAAGGGGTCGACTTCCTGACTGGTTGGGGTCCTCAGGACGGTAAGAACCAGTGGTTGGAAACAATTGGTGACATGGCTCAAAATCGTTCTCAACGGCTGGCGCGGATGCATCCACTCCTTGTGACTTATGATTTCCAGTGAAACTATATTGTTCTTCATTTTTACTATTACTTTTGTCTCATATCTCTGCCTACTGTCTCTATTATGCATTTCTTCTACTTTCGTCTCTTGCTTTGTGTGCTACATGGAGGGAGTGTGGCGACTTGAAGTGGTGCACATCGGTGGAAAGTTCTATGTCGGAAACAGACAGACAGACAGACTGTCTTTGAAACATTTTATGACTGTGCGTGTCCAAAGGAATTTTCGGTAAGGAATTTTTGGCGCTATCTAGTCCAAAGCTCAAAAAAGGAGGGGAGGTTAAGGGGAAGATCTAGCAACGCCACCTCACGATATCAGCACAAAAGCTAAGGAAACTTTAAACACAGAAAAAGATTAACATTAATAGCCTTGTCTTTATCTGTTACCGAGTTTATTCAACAACTTCGTGATTAGAATGACTGCTATCCGACTAAGCGGTACAGATTTGATCACCCGGTCACCAATACACTTGTAGACCTCACCAAGCCGTTACGAAGGCCTGAAAGAAAGAAGGTTGGGCGTAAAGCTAGCGATTCCACTGCGTAAAATGAAAAGAATCACTTCTGAAACTTCATAGCTTGTAGCCCTATGTTCCACTTGAAATGCAAAAAAGACAAACACAACGAATAACGACCACGGAGCGCGAAAGCGGATTACAGAACGTGCCGCGTATTTATAAGTTAACATAATAATATTAGTAATGAAACACACTAAAGATGACATTTTGCCCTGATGTAACTGAGAGGCATCAGTTTTCAAGTTTCATAGCCAACAAAATGGTTCCATCTATGTCAACAAGGAAACATTCTCCTCTCATTTTATTTATTTACAAGGAAAATACAGACAATGATGTTAAAACACCTTAAATCTACTACTTGAAGACATGATCGGCATGAAATCACACCTCACTTCATGCACAACGTTCATACTGATGCCGTAATGACGCGGCAGATTCTACAATCCAACGCACGACATGTGTTCGAAGTCATTGGTGTGCCTTCACACTTCACAGTCACTATTCTTTAGACTGGTCAGCAAAGCAATGCAAAAAATACAACTTTATTAAATATGCATTACTGAAAATGCGAAAATTCCACCTACCTGTGCATCAGTCATTAAAAATACATACGGCATATTCTTCAATGATGCTTTAATATACAATTGGGCAAGATGTGCTCTTAAATCATTCTGTGAGTAGCCCTTACGCAAAACTATTTGTGATAAATAAAATCCTGAGATAAATGCAGCTAAACGTGATAGCGACTGTTTACCAGAACCACCGATTCCAATGAGTAAAGCACTACCCCTCGGCATTTCTAATATTCGACAAATTCTTAACACATGTATCACAGCATCACTAAATAATACTAAATTCATAACAGCAAATGTATCATTGTAATTGTTCAATGCATTAACAACAATATCACTAATTTCTTCCAGGGAGGCTACAGGCCCGTATTGTCGTTCAGCGGATAAACCTTTATTGAAACTACAATACAGGAGAGGTTCACTTGTTATCTGATGAATTGATATATCAGGGAATTGATTAGTAATACCAAATGTGATATGTTTCAAAGCTGTTTCAACATCATTCATATCAATCATTTTGTCAGTGTAAACACGGATCGCTTCATGACGATATTGTCGGATAACAGAGATTACAGTCGGGAAGACATCAGGTTGAGCAAACAGAAGACACTATGAAAACGACAGGAAGAAGAATAACAGTCATAAAAACAAAAGTATCGAAAAAATTAGATGGAACAACAATATGTATTATAGAATCTTAAATAATAGAGAAGATTTGTAGCTCAGGTGGATGATTTGCAATTAATAGTGTTCTCTGAGCTTGTTGGTTTAGTTGTGGAGCTTTCGTCGATCACCTTTCTGGACAACATCCCCCTTCAGCGCAATTTGTAGCATAGAGTGAAGTGATTTAAATTTTTTTCATGAGTGACAGAATTGTATCTCCCGGTAACCATCTTTACATATGTATTGATCATTTTCTATTGACTTGAATTGCAAACTTCTGGTCACATGATTTACACTTTTTATTAGTTGGTATATTTGGTCTATATATTAACGTGTTTGTTCATCGCTGGCTGATTCGTTTGAGTACCAGGCTTCTAGGAATTTCCTGACTGCATTTTTGATGTTTCCTCTGTCTAAGATTTCGACATTATCCCAATCAAACTGATGTCCATAACTGTCTATATGCATTGATACTAAAGAACATATGTCATGTCTTTTCACGGCTGATTTGTGCTCTGGAATTCTAATTCGAAGGGGATGTCCAATCTGGCCGATGTAATGTAATTCGATATTGTGCAAACCGAAAGAACCTACAGACAAAGGAGATAAAATTAATACCATTTACAAAATAAATTCCGTGGATGAACTGTAACAGGCATTACATCGGCCAAATTGGGCATCCCCTTCGAATCAGAATCCAGGAACACAAATCAGCCGTGAAAAGACATGATATATACATATATATATATATTCTTTCATATCAATGCATATAGACAATTATGGACATCAGTTTGATTGGGATAATGTCGAAATCTTAGACAGAGGAAACATCAAAAATGCAGTCAGGAAATTCCTAGAAGCCTGGTACTCAAACGAATCAGCCAGCGATGAACAAACACGTTAATATATAGACCAAATATACCAACTAATAAAAAGTGTAAATCATGTGACCAGAAAGTTTGCAATTCAAGTCAATAGAAAAATGATCAATACATGTGTAGAGATGGTTTCCGGGAGGCGCAATTCTATCACTCTTGGAAAAAGCATTTAAATTATTTCACTTTATGCTAAAAATTGCGCTGAAGGGGGATGTTGTCCAGAAGGGTTGACGATGAAAGCTTTGCAAGTAAACCAACAAGCTCCGAGAACAGTGTTAATTGAGAGACAATATGCATACCAACAAGTGGGATACTCCAGACGTAAGTTCAAGGGTGACAAATAACAGTAATAGTAAATGATGAGTTTACAACGTTAGAATTTAGAAGTGATTTAATTCCAACCGAAAAATGTCTGAATGGTCTCGTAACCAGAAGGTCCTGAGTTCGATCCATGACCATGGGGTCGTAAGTGAACAGCACTGAAGAGTCCAAAGGCAAGACAAAACAGCCTCCTAATGCTCTCCCTGGTTTTCAGTGATCTATCTAACAAACATACATCATTGAATTATTTCATTTCATTTTATCTCATTTTCTTATTGACCACACTCACACACACACAGACATTTTTCAGGTGATAGCAGAAATTGAAAAGATCGTTGTAGAGAAGAGAATTTTTGTTTCAACGATGTCATCAACTAGGCTGTACGTTCGTATATATACATACATATGTGTAATAAAGCTGTTCGAAAGTTCCAGAAATATCTCCCGTCAGTGAAGAACACAGGTGAGTACATAACAAGATGAATGAATTCAGGACAATCAGCTCCAATTTGAAAGTCCCTCAAAGCTTTGTACAAAACCTCAACAAACTACTCAAAAGAAGTAACATCAAGGCATCTGAGCATAGCTTAGGTACTAGCTATCCAAAAATTCAAGTCAACGCTATGTGTATTCAGGAGAAATACCTCCCCCTCACAACATTTGTCTTTACCTATGCAATCGTAAACGGTTATTTTCTTCAATGACGATTATCTGACTACATTTTCTGTCCATTTTCGTGATTACCACCGTTTTAATCCCTGTTTGTAATCTTGTAATTTGTCATAACTTTGTAACAACAGAAGATAAGGGTCAGGCAACACATCATTTATTGAGGAAATTAACAGATATTTATATATTTTTATGTACATTATTATTCGTTATCATTATTATTAGTAGAGAAACAGCGTCTTCTTTTTTTCCTTCACGTTCCTCAGTGGAACACAGGGCTCCAAGCTATTGGCTTGAAGTTTCTGTAGCAGTGTTTAGTTTTTACAGGATGGGGTTGCTAGCCTCATGCCCAACCTTTTCTCTTTACCAGCATTATTTCTGGCTTAGCAAGGTAAAGGAGTGCGTCTGTTGCCAAGGATTGAACCCCGGACCATGTGCATGGTCGGCGAGCATCCTAACCACTATGCCACCGACGTTATCATTATTATTAGTAGTAGTAGAGAAACAGCGTCTTCTAATTGGTTGTTTTCTCGCTGAAAGTTCTTCTATCATCTCTCTATGGCCATTTCCCTGAAGGCCAGACCATACATCTACGAATTGTATCCGCCCACGCAAGGTCTGCTGTGATTGGCTGTTGAGTTAGTCTTTGTTCTTGTTCTTCTCTCATGACCAAGATTTGGGACGTAAACATTGACGTAAATTGCTGTAAACCATTTTTGGGTAGCAGACAGCTCTCACCAAATTCGCCCGTCAACCGGAAATATACTATATATATATATATATATATATATATATATTACCTTGAAGGATTTTTCGAAAGACACTGAATGTCCTGAATTGACCAGATGTTCTGTCACTGAACTGTATAAACGCTTTTGGTTTCCTTTTACTGACCAGGCCGGGTAGTGTTCACGAGCGCGTTTTTCAAGTCGGCGCATGGTACGGCCAACGTACTCAGCCCCACAAGAGCGAGTAAACTGGTATATGCACGTTGAGGTGGCCCAATGCGACAGCTTGTCTTTCGCGTTCTGGCTGAACAGTTTCTTGCAGGAAAACGTCAGTCGTAGGCTCGCGGCGAAGTATGTTTTCCTCAGCGATTTGGAGAGGCGTTTGTTTCAATATCACCTCTGAATTCTAGATTAAGCAGAATTATTTTCTTTGGAACGGAATGGACTTGTTCGGAAGTCTTCTTACATTTGAGATTCCTGTCTATGAATCCTGGCGGGAAACCGTTTTCCATCAGGGTTTTTTGAAGATTACGCAGTTCTTCTTCAACCACTTCCTCGCTGAATATCTTCCGAATCCTCGAGGAAAGAGCGTATATCAGGTTCCTCTTTCTACTCAGGGGCACGAAGCTTTGAAAGTTGATGAATTGTCCATTCCATGTAGGCTTTTTGTATATGGACCTTTTAGAGAGTTGTCGGCGTTTCTTGTCAGATGGACGTCGAGGAAGTGGAACATTCCGTCGGATTCAATCTCAAGTGTAAAGTCGATGTCTGGGTGGGCATTATTGAAAATTTGAAGTAGTTTTTCTACATCACAGTTCTCATCACAAATAATGAAAGTATCATCGATGTATCTTTTGTAGAGATGGAGGTTGTTGATAGTCGGTGATAAGGCGTTGTTCTCTAATCCAGCCATAAAGCAATCGGCTAGGAGGGGTCCCAAGTGAGAACCCATTGCTACTCCATCTACTTGCCTGTGTATATACAAATTACACTAGCTGTAATCAACGAATCATAATAGTTATATACCCGGCCATTTAGGCTATATACTTAATCCTGATTGGCTGTCACTTACAGTCTATATGGTCATGCCGCGAAGAGTACTTAATCTTGATTGGATGTTAATATAATTAGGCGTAGGCGAATAAAAAAATCGGTCATTATATGATGAATAATAACAGCATTGTGTGTAAACTATTGAAATATAATTATAATTTATTTAATAATAACTTAGTTTATATTAGTGAAAATTTTGAGACAAACTCGGTATCCTGGATATTTCAATGACCCGGAGAAACGATAGAACGACTAAGCGTTCTATATTACGTAAACAGACATGGTGTGGACAATATCTTCATTTCACTAGTTCTGTTCCTATCCAGTATAAACGTCGCTTAGTGTAAATCATGTGACCAGGATGTTTAATATCCAAGTCAATAGAAAATGATCAATACATATGTAAAGATGGTTACCGGGAGATACAATTCTGTCACTCATGAAAAAAATTTAAATCACTTCACTCTATACTACAAATTGCGCTGAAGGGGGATGTTGTCCAGAAGGGTGAACGACGAAAGCTCCGCAACTAGACCAACCACCTCAGAGAACACTATTAATTCCATATTATAGAATCTGTCTGTCACGATGGACAGTCTTCTTTGTAAGCCGTTCGCGTCACTATTTATACATATCCTAATATGATAACCTGATTGGACAGTTTTGTTTCGATTGTTTATAGCTTAATTTTCTGAGGTATTTTGGGCATCAAAAAAATAACCAGATTTCTCCATCTTCATATATTGATTCGCTTGTATAAACTCAAACGGAACAAAACTAAATCTTCATGCAGAGTATTATTAGGACAGCATTTATTTCATTGGATACTCATCAGTCGACTTCAAATTGAAGTATGCGCTGAAGATGTTGCCTAGTAGTGGGGCAATGAAAGCTTCACAAATAAGCCATTCAGCTAGCTCAAAGAACACAACTACATCAAAATCATCCACCTGAGCTACAAATCTTCTTCATTATGTATCTAAATATGTTCTTGGTCGGTTTATTACCAGATTTCCTCGTTGCTTATGCTTTCCAGTCGGTTATTTGATCTTCAATATCGAGTTGAATAGGTGGTGAAGCGTTAGAATTTTCACTAACCAGGCCCCTTGTGGCCAGAGGTTCGATCTATGGCCAACGCAACCCCTGAACCTCACTCAGCTGGTAGTAAACCGAGTAAAAAGGAGAAGACAGGCATGAGCCTAGACATCCCAATCTGTTAAAAAGAAACCACTGCCACTGAAACTTCACAGATTAAGCATAAATCTTTATTTTACACTTGGAAGGTGAAAGATGAAGCGAGGGAAGCAAATGTTGATAAAAGTATATGTTCTCCTGTTGAAAATGCTACTGGGGATGCCAGCTACGAATCTCTGGACCATATATATATATATATATATCAAGTATTGGTTTTCAGGGACTTGCTTGGTTACGGGTTTGTCAATGACTTGACATCAGTTAAGGAACCACTAGAAAACCTGGGAATACTGGACAGCTGTTTCATCCTATTTTGTGACTCGGGGTCCCGGTTGCTTAACGGTTCATGAGCCAGCTTGAATTGTAACCAAAACGTCCTGGATTCGAACCCCAGTCTGTGCGTGTTGTTGAAAAGTGGCAAACTAGGACGAAACAGCTGTCAATGTATATATATATACAGGGCGTTGGGAGTCCGGGGGTATAATGCTCTACAACCGCACAAGTGATTCAGGGTTCGACCCCTGGCTGGTAGAGAGGGAAGGTTGGGTAGGAGACTAGTAACCTCATCCCGTAAAAATAAAAAAAAAACAAATGCCACCTAAAATTTGAAGTTCTAATTTGAGGCCTTATGTTCCACTCGGTTAGTGAAGCAGTAAAATAAAATAATCTTTGATAACTCAACTTTCCCTAGGTCATAAAGTATGGATGTCTTGCTTCAGTCCCAATACAAACACCAAAATGACTGCAGCTAATGTTTTTTCAAAAATAAAAGGGAAAAGGGATGACAACTCAAATGTCTAAGGAGACTAATGAAGCTCCAGTACAACACCAATCAGAACACACATGGAAAGCTATTATTGGGAAATTTCAGGAGTTAAGTTTTTAACACTACATGGAGGATTTCATCATGAGCTGACATCAGTTAGAGAACCACTGGAAAACAAGCTGGGAGTACTGGACAGCTGTTTCGTCCTAGTTTGGGACTCTTCAGCATTGACCCAGGACCAGACCAATTGGTCTACTAGGTCGCCTTGTAACCAGAAGTTCCTGGGTTCGAACTGATGGGTGCGTACTAATGAGGAGTCCCAAACTAGGACAAAACAGCTGTCCAGAACTTCCAGGTTTTCCAACGGTTCTCTAACCGATGTCAGCTCATGATAAAAACCCACCATGCAATCAAAAAAAATCCCTACAAAAAGCAATACTTGAAAATTTTTAACAATAATCTTCATTTTTTTTAAATATATATTTTCACACTTACCTGAAATATATTCGTTAAATCACGTAAATTAAATAAATAATGAAAACGAATAGCTGTTGGCAAGAATACAGCTGATATTTTATCATGTGCAATCATACAGGCTTCAACTAGACTATCAACTGCACGTATTACTGCGGATGGAAAACTATTCCGTATATAATGTTGCTTTAATATCGTTGAATAGATTGTTTTCACAGCATTCTCATCAGGAAAACTTAGAGCAAATACTGAAAAATGACGCTGCAGTCGTGATGTGATTGTAAAACTACCAGCTGTTGGATTCATAGCAGCTACATATTGAGTTTTACTCACTTTTTTTAGGGTTAACTTTTGTCTATCATAAAAATGTTTATGATCTATATGTTGACGAATAAGTGTATGTGGTTGAACTGTGAAATATTGATCAACCTAAAGGTATATGAACACAAAAAGTATTTTTTTAAGAAAAAAAAGTGTGGTTGCTACTGTCTCACCTTCACAAAAATAATAAAAAAGGATTTTTCAAAAGAATGTATACTGAACAAAGAGTACTCTTTTCGATAACCTCAATTCATCATCATCATCATCATCAAGAAATACATAGCGAAGGAAGCGGAAAAGGACTACTCACTACCTGTAAACAAAAAGCAACTTTATATGCGACTACAATTCATGGGCGATATACAAGTTGGCAGAAGAAGCATGCAGAGAATATTGGCTTCAAGTGAACATGGATAAAATAGAGGTGATGAAGATTCCTGGCCAACACCAACAGCAGCAACAACGACAACAGACAACAATCAGCCAGCATAAATGGGAGGAACCTGAAAGAAACAACCTTCTTTACCTACGTACCTACCTGGGAAGCATCGTTTCAACTACAGACGGACACAACTCACGAGGATATCAAAACAAGAATCGGAAAAGCAAGACAAGCTTTCACTACCCTTAAGTCTGTGTGGAGGAGGTCAACAGCACTCAGAATCAAAAATAAGATCCGGATTTTCGACTCCAATGTGAAGTCAGTCAGTGCTACTCACTGTACGGATCAGAGACTTGGCGGGTCATAAATAGCATCTCAAACAAACTTCATACCTTCATTAACAGTTCTCTTCGCTCAATACTACTCAAGATCAGATGGCTGGCCAGAAAAGATCAACAACAGGGATCTCTGGCAATGAGCGAACCAACCATGAACCGATTGTGAAACATATATGCAGGAAGAGAAGGAGATGGATTGGCCACAGTCTGAGGAAACCGTCAAGTGACATCACTAGACAAGCCATTGCTCGAGTGGAACCCGAAAGGGAAGCGGCCAGTTGCTTGTCGGTGTGAGGGTGACTTGGAGGAGGTGATGTGAAGAGGAGACGAAAGCATGTGGGCAGACTTGGAGCGGGGTGAAAACGTTGGCAGAGAACTGAACGCAATGGAGACTCGCGGCTGAAGCCATGTGTTCCTCTAGGAATTAAAGGATATAATAATTATACCAAGTGAGATAATCACGAGGAAATTAAGAAAACCAGTTCAAAGAACTTTTAATGCTGGAGAACTACACGTCTTATTCTCTACACGATCGATGGTGCTACCTCGACTGAAAGAGGAAGTACCTAGACTAGCTAGTCGCTTCAAATTGTATCTACCAATTCAACTGCTCCTGTGCTGGGGTGAGTTATATTGGTCGTTAATCCAAGTACTTGATTTTTCGTTCTCGGTCCAGAACATTTCCCACTATGGCTAAGTAAAGGTGTAGTGAAAACCATTAACAGTTCAATATTGGACCATCTAGTGCAAATCGACCACAGAACCAGCCAGCGTGGAATAATCCATCTCTATCATTATCTAACGGGTACCTAATAAATTGCCAAAATCATCATCGAAGCATTGCATGCTCCAAACAGCAGAGGTCATTGCAATTCGCCTCAAACAACCAGTGCTCTGTGTTCGAAAGAAGCAAGTCCAGCCCCTACTACAGCCTTGGCTTTCAGTAGAGACTATAAATTCATGAATTTTCTGACATTCAGCTTCTTTTATGTTGATGCTATTGAGCTGTAATCTACTGATATTATTGATTCGACGTTATTTAAACAGCAGCATTAATGTTGTTTATAACGCTAATTCATTCATTCACTATAATGGATGGATATATAACTGTAGAGCCTGATAATGAAGGCGTTATCGAAAAGAGTATTCTTTGTTCAGTATTCATTCTTTTGAAAATTTTAATGGGCATTTTTAATCAGTTAAAAAAGGATTTCAAGTTGAATGACAAGCTGACATTGATTAGAGGATTACTAGAAACCAAGGAGAATTTGCCAGCTGATATAAGATGGTTGGAGACAATCAACAGGAAGCCTCGACCAACCTAGGTTTCGTACTAGATGACACTCACCAACCATCAAGGCGTATCGACAACCATCTTGAAGGAACTCATGTCCCTGCATCTAAGATTCGAACCGGCATCACCCAGTGCTGCAGTCAGGAAGCCTGAATAACTCAGTGGTAACGTTCCATTGAGTTCGGTTCTCTGCCAACGGTTTCACCCCGCTCCAAGTCTGCCCACATGCTTTCGTCTCCTCTTCACATCACCTCCTCCAAGTCACCCTCACACCGACAAGCAACTGGCCGCTTCCCTTTCGGGTTCCACTCGAGCAATGGCTTGTCTAGTGATGTCCCTTGACGGTTTCCTCAGACTGTGGCCAATCCATCTCCTTCTCTTCCTGCATATATGTTTCACAATCGGTTCATGGTTGGTTCGCTCATTGCCAGAGATCCCTGTTGTTGATCTTTTCTGGCCAGCCATCTGATCTTGAGTAGTATTGAGCGAAGAGAACTGTTAATGAAGGTATGAAGTTTGTTTGAGATGCTATTTATGACCCGCCAAGTCTCTGATCCGTACAGTGAGTAGCACTGACTGACTTCACATTGGAGTCGAAAATCCGGATCTTATTTTTGATTCTGAGTGCTGTTGACCTCCTCCACACAGACTTAAGGGTAGTGAAAGCTTGTCTTGCTTTTCCGATTCTTGTTTTGATATCCTCGTGAGTTGTGTCCGTCTGTAGTTGAAACGATGCTTCCCAGGTAGGTACGTAGGTAAAGAAGGTTGTTTCTTTCAGGTTCCTCCCATTTATGCTGGCTGATTGTTGTCTGTTGTCGTTGTTGCTGTTGGTGTTGGCCAGGAATCTTCATCACCTCTGTTTTATCCATGTTCACTTGAAGTCCTATCTTTGATGCTTCTTCTACCACCTTGTTGTTTTTCACTTGAATATCTTCCAATTTGTGGGAAATCAGAGATATATTATAGGCGAAGTACAGATCCTCCAGGTTTTTGTGTGGGTCCAATTTACGCCTGCCTTCTCGTTGCTCGTCGCTGACCGTCGTACTATCCGGTTTACCGCAATCAGAAAAATCATTGGAAAAAGTAGTGGACACCCAGCTTGTCTCACTCCCGTCTTCACTTCTACGAAGGATTCTGTGAGTTTCTCGCTATGGATTACTTGGGCATGCAACACTGTCGTACAACTGTTGGATGAGGTGAATAATTGTTTGCAGCACCACGTAGTAGCAAAGTAGCTGCCGAATCGCCTCTCGATAGACGCTGTCTGCTGAAGGCCTTTTCAAAGCCGATGAAGTTGAGTGAGGTAGACAGCTGACTACCATTCCAAGCTTTGTTCAGTGATGACCTGTAGTGTGGCGATTTGATCGATTCATGACTTGTTTCTCCTGAATCCAGCTTGTTCCAGTCGAAGCCACATCTATAAATGTTCAAATTAACTACTCACTAGATTAAAGGTATATTTCAGAGACATTATTCCCGGCATAATATTAATAATAAGTAACCAATTAGACGATAAATGTAACGAGATAATTGTTTAAAAAATCCTTCCTCAACGATGTAATTACAATCTTTATATAATTATTTGGATGTTTTCTAAACAACTTTGTAATTTTTAATTATTGGTTTTGTAGGAATTTTGTTTAATTTGATGTAGGATTTCATCATGAATTGACGTCAGTTAGAGAACTATTGGAAAACCTGCATGGAGTACTGGACAGCCATCCATTTCGTTCTAGTCAGCTCATGATAAAATCGTCCATCCATCCAACTTTGTAATTTGTAATTTTGACGCATTCTCCTCCTAGACTGTAAATCAATGTTCTGACATTCGCACATCATCCCTATTATCTGTCTTTGTTCCTCCCGGTTAAATCTCTAATTTTCATTCTTCTCTCTCTCTCTCTCTCTGGTTGTGTCTTACCCTGATAATGCGTTGTTTTACGACGACATGATTTGATTTGAGTGAATGAGTGAAGGTTATTCTGACCTTGGACTTTTGTGTGAGACAAGAATTGTTGGTGTGTGAGTCTTGTAGTGGACAGCATTTTCAGTCCCACCTTGTTAGGAATATTCTAGTAGATTTTGGAGTATTTCTTATAACTGAATTTTCGCTAACTAATTTTGTTCTACAGTAGTTGTTTCTGACTAGAAACTTATCTAGCCTCTTCAGCTGTCTGACAGCACCGTTGATATAACTTTTGCTCTTTGATGTTGTTATTGTTGAAACGAACCACGTAGACCTATCTGTTTTGGAGTATTTTGTGGCTGTGCGTCTCTCCGGGAAGTTTCCTACACCTATACAGTAGGACGCGTTTCAGCCACAACGCATTGATATTCAAGTGAATATCAATGAGATGCTCACTAGCGACTTGCCCTATTCAGGTAAGTAGTTACCTGGGGTTCTAGTGAGAAATCGTGACCAGTAGGGTGCAGAAGGTCGGGTGTGAGAAGAAATACTCGCCGGAGGCATTGTCTAGGGGTCACGCTATGTCGTGAATTGGTAGAAGTTGGAATTCATGGACGGGCCATTGAATCGGGTCCCAGTGGCTTAGTGGTCTACGAGCTCGCCTTGTAAACAGAAAGTCCTACGCTTGAATCCCGGTGGGTGCGTACTGATGAAGAGTCCTAAACTAGGACGAAACAGTTGTCCAGTATTCCCTGCAGGTTTTCCAGTGGTTCTCTAACCAATGTCAGCTCATGATGAAATCTCACAACGCATTGGTTTTCATCGTTACAGTGCGCTTCATAACTTCAGTTAGTTTCAATGCTCGGATAGCACATTTTTAATATTTTAACAATAATATACCAACTTTATGCACCCTGATATATACTACTGACTACTGGTATCAGTAGTTGACAACCATTTAAGTCAACCTGACCAAAAGGATTTATACACCGAAACAGTCATTTCACTCGTTTGGAACTAGGCTTCCGACCAGTGATGTCCCCTTGGTGAATTAACTCAGACAGCTGAATTATAGTAGAAGAACTAATGATATGTAGAATCAGATTTTTCATTAGCCTGTTTAAGCAGTTCCGTTCTGTTCGATGGTGACTAGCAGTGGGACCCAATAATGCCTGTTTCATTCTATTTGAATCTCATCAACTGGATACACATCCATCATTCCCGGGGAATAATTAATGGTTAATCCACTAAGTCTTAAACCCAACAGACATTATTTGAAATTACAGAAAAAGGCTATTAAGTGGCACTAAATAATTGCTCAGTCGATGTACCTATATATGTGATAAAAGTTATAAGGGGTAGAGTTGAAGTGGATAAATTACAAAAATATTAAAGATTGTTCTATAACAAAAATGTCAAGTGTTGTCTAAATATTTTGAAAATTAGGAGTACGATTACGATAAGAATGAAGATGTGAAGTGAAGTGGAAAGAATTCAAGTGGTAAAATAAAATAAAAACTAGAAAGAACATTATTATGACCAAGGTAAAGAAAGGGGTTTGACAAAACGCTTTTGAACACATAATTTAGGTTTCTGTTCATGTATAGCTAAAGCTTCGGCTATGAATAAGTGAATAAAACGTAAACTTTTGGATCGATTCGATTTTGCCATGTATCCACTTCACTTCACATCTTCATTCTTATCGTAATCGTACTCCTAATTTTCATAATTTTTAGACAACACTTGATATTTTTGTTATAGAACAATCTTTAATATTTTTGTAATTTATCCACTTCAACTCTACCCCTTATAACTTTTATCACATATATACGTACATTGACTGAGCAATTATTTGAAATGCCAAACCGTTATCTACTAGATCATTTGGTTATGAGAACCAGTTCTTGTATAACTGTTTTCACTGGCTTTTATTGAAACTATTTTTCCGAAACATTCAGTGTCTGTTAACATATGACCTCCTAATAAAGATGTTTTCACAATGCATTTAAAACAATTAGTCCTTTTTATAAATTTGGATAGCGTTATTAGAAGACGGAGATTTTCTGAAAAACAATGTGATGTATTTGCGTCATACATTTCGAACAATCTGATCACACATTTACTTGTCAAGTAGATATATATGAAAAAGTTAAATTAAACAAAGTAACCTAAAAGAGTTTTAAATGATTAACACAACATTTGGTAATCCAATTAAATAAGCATTACCAAGGTAGGTTAAGAGTAATAATAAACTGCTTATGCACACCCGGGGTGGGGGAGGCTTAAGTTTATGAATAGCTATAGCCTCAGCGTATTTCACTAAGCGCCCCGTGACCGTTTTTATAGATGACCATAAAGGCTGAGTTAACATCAATCTTATGGTTCATCTCGATTAGATGTTTAGCTATAGACAAAGTTGGTAATCTGACTGACACCTGCATCTATTTTGGGATATGCTCTCCCACCCTCACGTGCAAAACGCGATTACTCCTCCCTATGTATGTATGTATGTCCACACACACACGAAAATTGGTAAATTGTATGGGATGTGATATAATCACTTGTGCACTTTTGGGGCTTACAGTGAAGCATATTTTTAGCTTTTTCCACAATTAGTAGTAGGTTCCATGGATGATCGAATTCAACCTTTCTCGCGAAATCCTACTGTTTATTTCCCCGTTATATGGTAATTTAATGAAAACATTTTTCTTAGGTGCAGTATAGATTGTAGGTTAAGAGAATAATTGACTTCTGCACCTGTTTAAAAATTTCAAAGGATATCCGTTTTCAACAAGAGTATCCATCAATATTTCGTTTTCTTTGTATATAACATCAGCCGTACAAATACGTTGATTCCTCTCGAATAGACATTTCACCAAGCCTCTCTTATACTGTAATGGACAGAAACTGTGAAAATTAAGGTACTGCCCAGTCCAAGTCGGCTTTCTATAGATTGATCGTCTTATTGAACCGTCATCTCTTAGACTCAGAAGTACATCTAAAAATGCAAGCTGGTTGCGACTTTTTTCCTCGGATGTAAGACTAATATGATTCTGTATAGAGTTAAGTCTGTCTAATAGATGACTCGCATCTTCATGATCGTCACATATCAAAATGATATCATCTCTTATAGAGGGGAAATTTTGAAATTAAATCAAGAGACAATTTCTCAACATAAGACATGTAAACGTCTGCTAACAAAGGTCCTAATGGACTGCCAATAGCAACTCCATCCACTTGTCAAAAATGCATTTAGGTTAATATGGTGGGTTCCTAATCGGATAAATCATACGGTCTAGATGTCACTGTTAGTCAGAATCAACCACATAACATTGAGGGAACTAGATGACCGGATAACAAATAAAACGTATATAGTTGTTCTTAACTTCAATGAGATGTCTGTAGTCACATTCCTAGGCATCTAAGACAGTTTATCACAAAGATTGTTCCTTGAATTCCTGTTTACCAATATTCATGAGCTATACGTATCTTGTGACTGCATTTCCAAGTATTGTTTTTTCTGTCTTCTTACAATCTACTGTGTGTAATTTACATTTACATTCATTACCCCTCAAAAAAGTACTTACACTGAGAAGAGCACTCACCTCTGGCATATTTAAATCATCAATGAAATAAAGGAGTCTATGCTGTCCTGGTGGACCATAATTCATACCAGCTTTTTTCTCTAAACTTTTATCCAACACTTCTTGTAACATTAAACTTGTTGTATAAAAATTGAATGGTATACTCTTCACAAGATATTCTTCAGATAAACTTGAAAATTTATCCTGTAGGATAACAGATTTCCCAGTTCCAGCTGAACCAACCAACATAACAGGATGTCCAGCTTCAATGAGTAGATCTAAGAAGAAACGTAATCGGACAACTTCCACTGTGGGAACTAAAGCAGCCTTTAGTAGAAAAAAAACAAGCATATAATGTGTTTATTTAATTAATAAGTTTTATCACATCTTGAGGTTAATTAAACAAATCATGGTGATCTTAAGAGACTTTAGCAGTAAAATGATCAAATCAAACCTCAAACAATTAGCTACCACACAGATTATCTATTGTTTTAGTCTCATTACAACTGAGCTTTGTGTGCTTTTAACTATTTATGCGTCATTCAAGTATACCTCGTTCCATAAGCTATTTGACCACCTTATATTGTTGTTTCTTATAAACTTGCATACGACTCCAACAACAGGTTTGTGTAAACATCTGTTCCCGCAAATTTAGAGTTCTCTTTTTGAAGTACTGGAAATATCAATTTCCTCTAGATTAACTACAGCCAACTATCATTCATTAACGGTTTAGTCTGGGTATTATGTTCTTATTGCAATCCTCCCTTTTTTAAAAGGTCCCTACTGTAGATCAACCACTCTAGAAATGCTTAATATCAGTGATAAGGCACCACTGACTAAAATAACTAACGTTCTAGGAATAATATTATTATTCCCTCGGGTTCCGAGTGGAACATACGGCTTCAATAACATATCTTCACTTTGTTCTATTCTCTGTTGTTCTCTTTAGTTTATCTCATAATTGCATGGAGGATTTCATCGTCAGCTGACATCAGTTAGAGAATCACTAGAAAACCAACTGGGAGTACTGGGCAGCTGAAATCCTCTATGCAATTAAATAAAATCCCTACAAAACCAATACTTAAATTAGTATACAATTGGTGGATGGTGGCTAGCAGTGGAATCGAGGATGCGCATTTCGTCCTATTTGGGACTCGTCAGCTGGATGTACCTGCATTTCTCAGTGAGTGATGATGTTCCCACCGAAGCTCGAACCCAGTACCCATAGTTTCAAACGCCAAAGCGTTATCCACTAGACCACTTGGGCCACGAGAGCCACCAATACTTAAAAACTAATCTGATGCTCACTAGCAAGTGGCTCTATTCAGGCAGTTAACTTGGGGTTCTAGTGGGAAGCTGTGACCAGTAGGGTACAGCAGGTCGAAGATGAGGCAGTACCTCATTGAAGAAGACAGCGAAATGGTCGCGCTATGTCCTGAACTTGCAGAAGTTAGAATTCAAGATTCATTGGATCAGGCCCCAGTAGCTCAATGGTTTATGAGCTCACCCTGTAACCAAAAGGTCCTGGCCTCCAATCTCGGTGGGTACGTACTGATGAAGAGTCCTAAACTAGGACGAAACAGCTGCCCAGTACTCCCAGTTGGTTTTCTAGTGGTTCTCTAACTGATGTCAGCTCATGATGAAATCTTCCATGCAATCAAAAAATCCATATAAAGCCAATACTTGAAAATTATCCCATAATTATCCATAATCTCTCATCTTCTCCTCCATGTCACCCTTGCTCACACCAACCACCCACTCGTGGCTTTCTATTGGCATTCCCCTCAAACGAAGGTCTGTATTGGGCATGATGTCACTCGATGGCCTCCTCAACGTATGCCCCATCAATCCGTCTCCATTTTCTCTTACATATTTGTTCAGTAGTCGTCTCTTCGTCGGTTTGTTGACAGGGCTTTTTTGTCGCTAATCCTTTTGATCTTCAGCATTGAGACACCGAAGGCCATTGTTAGTAAAAGTCTGAACTGGTCAGTTCAAAATGCTTTCCGTGACGTGTAGTGCAAGTTTCTGACCAGTAACAAAGAAGTAAATGACTTGGTATTCCTGTTGAAAATCCGATTTTAGTTTTTCTTGCTGAGTGCAGAAGAGTGATGAAGGTGTTTGTCTTGCCTTTGTGATTCCAGTTTTAACATCGGTATGAAACCTAGGTCCAAGGCTTCCTGTCGATTGCCTTCAACTATCTAATATCGATAATTCAGAGTCCATTGTAATGTCGGGGAGTCTAGAATGACGGCGACATTGCAAACTTGACTGACTATACAATTCAGTCTGCACCAAACACAGGACTAGAGACATTACACTAGCTGCTAACTAGTATCCAGTATTATGGAGATCATTGATCAGCATAAATACCTCAGCAGCAACGTCTTTGATTGCAGTACTCACTGGATGATACGGGTTCAAATCTGCGAAGGTACATGAGTTCCTTCGAGGTTGCAGATACGCAATGCTGATTAGTGAGTGTCAGCAAGCACCCTTCTTAGGTCCAAAGCTTCCTGCCGATCACCTCTAATCATTTAATATAAATGTTTTGATTGCCTAGAAACCTCGTTTATCCTACTGCCCTCAGTTAAAATTACACATTCTATGAGCTATTTCATAAATCAAATAACCTAATGTACTTGGTTACTGGATTTCATCATGAGCTGACGTTAGTTAGAGAACCATTGGAAAACCTGCAGGCAGTACTGGACAGCTGTTCCCTCCGTCCTAGTTTGGGACTCTTCAACAGTATGCACGCGCCACAACTGCGTTCGAACCCAGGACCTTCTGGTTACAAGGCGAGTTAGCTCGTAGACTATTAAGCCACTGGAACACAATTCAATGGCCCATGAATTCTAACTTCTGCCAATTCACGAATACTTGAATACCAATGAGATGCTCACTAGTGACTGGTCCTATTCAGGTAGGTAGTTACCTGGGGTTCCAGTGAGAAGTCGTGACCAGTAGGGTGCAGAAGGTCGGGTGTGAGGGCAAATACTCGCCACGGATGACAATGGCTAGGGGTTGCGCTATATCGTGAATTCGTAGAAGTTAGAATTCATGGACTGGCCATTGGATCAGGTTCCAGTGGCTTAATGATCTACGAGATCCCCTGCCTTGTAACTAGGAGGTCCTTGGTTCGAATGCCGGTGGGTGCGTACTAATGAAGAGTCTTAAACTAGGACGAAACAGTTGTCCAGTACTCCTAGCTGGTTTTCCAATGGCTCTCTAACCAATCTCAGCTCATGATGAAATCATGTAGCCAATCAACCAAATCCCTACAAACCAATACTTGAATAACCTACTATATTTCTTGATATTTAACTCTGATTACAGTCACAAATATTTTCCCTTGCAATTCACACAATTATTTTGAATTTAATTCACCAAAAATCTCCTGTGAATATCCTTGTTCAAGTTAACAACATCTGGATGGGCAAACAACTCCGTCAAGCCTGAGAATAAACACCTTTCTGACACTTACTTGTAATGGTATATCTGGATCTAGTTCACATTTTGTTAAACGTGTTGACCAACTTTCAAATTTTCGTGTTGTTAAACTCCAAAAAAAGTCGAATATAGTACCACCGGATGGAAATTTCACTTGTTTAAATTCATTCAGCCACCATTTTGAAAATTCAACACGATAATCACACAATTGATCTTTAAATAAACATCCACCAAATGACCAAACACAACAGAAGACAAATAGCATTTCATAATTTTCTTTAGTAAATTCACGTGTATCTTTTGATTTACTTTGTATATCCAATATACATTCAAGTAGATAGCATAACATTTCAATATGAGCTAAATCAGGTATCGGTGTAATACGTTTCATTCGATAACGAACAATTTCAAGGCATGGTGAAACATACTTGTCAAAACAGATTGACAGTGCAGGTCTTTCACTAATCGATAGAGTTTTCTTCATTTTCACTCGATCATCTAACCAACTGTGTACAAATCTGTAAGAAAGAAGTAACACGTGGGGGTGAGGAGAGGAGAAAGAAAAGAGGTCAAAGAGGATACATGTTACCTTCGTTAAATTTCAGTTGATATGAGTCGGCGGTTCGGTGGTAGAATGGTGGCCAACCAGGCACGTGGTCTGGGGTGCAATTCCTGAAGGGCGCCCATCTTTAACCCTCCCCCCTCTAGCCAGTTGTCATTCAGACAAAGAGGGGGAGTTGGGTGTGAGGCTAGCAATCCCATACCGTAAGAAAAAACACTACTTCTAAAGCTTCAGAGCTCAAGCTTGAAAGGACCTATGTTCCACTTGGAACGTACAGGAATGCAAAAATAACTTTGATGGTCAATCCATCATAATAAAGGTTTCTTTTTGTATTTCCCATTCAATGAGTGAAAAACAAAACGATTTTGGTTTTTATTCATATTATATACTCAAATGCCCAGTTTTTTTCAAACTGTTGAAAGTAAACTTGGTTTGGACATACACAATGTTGTGGTGAGAGTAGGCTGCTAGCCAACCGGTAGACATCAATCTGCGTCAATTTCTAGGTTCCTAATATTGGCCGTGAGAAAATATGAACAAGGCTGATTCAACAACCAATCACAGCAGACTTAAACGTGGGCAAATACGATTCGCAGATAGATGGCTCCACTTTCCGAGAAACTCGAAAACAACCAATCAGAAGACTGCGTTTGTCTACTTAAATATACTATAATAATGTACATGAAATACATATAAATACGTGCTGATTTCCGTAATAAAATGATCTGTTGCCGGCCCTTGTCTTCTGTTGTTACAATGTAACACTTAATATGATGTTACTGAGATCATTCAGAAAAATTTCAAAAATCACAAAGAACGTCTCATATCATCAAAAGCATTTCACATCAAATGAAATCTAAATTATCTGAATAGGAATGATGGAGTGAAATAGAAACAACATCCCCTCCCCTCGTGAAATGACGAAATCAACACGAATGTGATAAGCAATTTCATTATGTAAACACACGCTGCTTTTATAATTTGACACACAATTTTCAAATCCAACAATCTGGACTTGATTTTGCTGTATTCAACAATCGACCAGTTTGACAATGCAAAAATGACCCCATGCTGAGGAACGATGATTAAGTTTAAAACAGAGGTAATAGTACATCTTCTGTAGTATTAAAACAAAATTTACCAAGAAAGGTTTAATGTGATGACGAATTGTTGTTTGAACGCATAAAGGTGACTTGCACTTTCTAATTGCTAGCTGGGGCTTCCACAAACTTTAGGATACGCCCCAAACACGTTTTACAGATAGGTTTAAAAGATCTGTTAACATCGATTTTATGTCCTGTCTCTAGAATATGTTTCGCAATAGAAGAGCTAGGTCTCCTGTTCTCACCATTAATGGGTTCTGAAGATTCCATTTATTTCTGGACCCATTTAGAAATATGCTCTGAAGCCCTTACTTGCAGAGATCGATGAGTCCTCCCTATATATGTGTGTCCACACGTACATTCAAATAGGTAAATACAGTGGGATGTGACGTCAATTTTTGCATGTTCGAAGGGCTTAGACAGATGTATTGGCTTCACATTCTCAATTATTATGATATTAGCTGCATAAAAAGTCTTTTTAACAGCAGCGTTCAGTCTTTGTCTAGTTATCAAGCTGCTTTGATGCCCCATATAGGGTAGCTTGATGTACACGTCTTTCTTAGGGGCGAGTTGGAGAGTGGGTCTTGGTGTTCTGACTACTTTATATCTTCTGATGAACTTGTCTGGATAATTTTTATCAACCAGAGTTTGTGTCAACTTTCTTTCTTCTTCATCAAGTGTGTCTTCAGTGCATATCCGTCGGATTCTACGGAAGAGGCACCTTACTAAGGCCCTTTTGTACCGAACAGGCCAGGCAGAAACTGTGGTAATTAAGATACTGTTCTGTCCAGGTAGGTTTTCTATAAATAGATCTTTTTATAGACCCATCCAGCGGTCGACTAAGCAATGTGTCTAGGAAAGATAAACAATTATCTTCTTCTTCTACAGATGTAAGTGATATGCTATTCTGAACTTCATTCATTCGATTTAAAATTGAGGTGGCAGAACAAGACTTATCACTGATGACTACAATATCATCTACCTACCTTCTATAAAGTGGCACATTTTCGATTAAATCCTCCGATAAATTCTCAATATACGACATATAAATATCTGCTAAAAGGGGCCTAACGGACTTCACATAGCATATATAAGCTGATTGGATTTTATAAATTCTGGTTTATTAATACTACTTTGATAAAGCTATTAGCAGCAATATTAAATAACGAAACGTCAGTGAAAACAACCATATCGTTTTGTTTTTCACTCATTCACTGGTAAATACAAGGAAAACCTTTACTATAATGAACATCATGTACTCGAATGCCCAAATTTTTTCAAACTGTTAAAAGTGAACTTAATTTGGACACATAAAATTCGATGGTCTATCTTTTAAAGTCCCATTTTGGGGTAAATTTTATTTTCATAAAATCATACAATGCTATGACAGTATTATTTACTGATGACGGCGTTTCAAGCACAATTTATCACCGCTCATAATCGTGTCAAGGCGATCGCATAACTTTCTTGCTTCATTTATATACATGAGTTTTATGTTTATACCAATCTTTTAAAGTGTTCAGTTACAGAATGCTTAATAGATGTAGACGAATATTAGGCAGATAAAGTGAGCGAAATTAAGCCAAAAATCTGGGTACGTATTGTTGATTACACATTCGTATTAATTAAAAGAAATGAACTGAAGCACACGCACAAATTAATCAACGTGTCTGAAGACACGCCAAGCATGCACATGGTCCGAAGTTCGAACCCTGGCAACGGATGCACTCCTTTACCTCGCTAAATCAGAAAGGTTGGGCATGCGGCTAGATACCTTTCGGACAAAAGTTCGACACAAATTAAGCCAGTAAAGGATGCCAATGTAAAGTCAATCACCAAAGAAGTGGAGCAGAGGAAACACTGAGCTGAACACTTCAAAAGACTTCTAAATCGACCGCCACCTACAACGCGCCCAACAATACCAACAACGGAAGCAGAACTACCAGTGGACATCAACATCCTGACGAGAACAAAAATCCTGAAGGTAATCACGATGTTAAAAGCTGGAAAAGCAGCGGGAACAGATGGAATCTCAGCAGAAGCATTGAAAACGGACCCAGAAACAACAGCGGACTTGATGACACCCCTACTGGAGAAGGTGTGGAAGGGGGGCAAGGTAAGTGCGGATTGGAAGAAAGGATACTTATTCAAAGTGGCAAAGAAAGGAGACTTAAGGCAATACAAGAACTGGCGCGGAATTATCCTCCTGTCCATCCTAATCAAAATCCTGAGCCGCATCATCCTGGAGAGAATCAAACAAGCCCTCGATGAAAACTTCGGCCAGAACAGGCTGGATTCAGGGGAACAAGTCATGTATTGATCAAATCGCCACACTACGTATCACAATTGAACAGAGCTTGGAATCGAGTGGAACTCGAAAGGGAAGCGGCGAGTCTGTTGTCATTGCAAGGGTGACTTGGGGAGGTCATGTGGAGAGGAGATGAAAGCATGTGGGCAAACTTGGAGCTAGGTGAAAACTCTAGCAGAGAACCGAACGCAATAGGGACGCGCGGCTGAAGCCATATGTCCCTCTAGGAATCAAAGGAAATAATAATAAGTTTAAATAATGTGTATGGTAGTTAGTTTGAAAATTGCACCAAAAAATGATGATAATAATAATAAACTTACGGTGTCCAGCCTAAATCTCCTGGATTAATGTATAGGATACCAGCACGTGATACAGTCGCTGGTGTAGCTGTCTTCAAATGACTAATTTCAAATAGTAATCTCATACTATCCGTTAACGGGATACGCTCATTACTGGCTAATGTTAACACCTTATTATCATCCATAACAGTATTCAATGATTCAATCCACATTGGATCAATATCTCCGTCAAGTACAATCCATTTTGGATCTTTCCCTGTCATATTGGCTAAATCTCTCATTATAACAGAAAATAAACCTGTTATGGTAGAATAAATGTAGGAAAAGAACAAACAAAAGTATATGCCGATCAAAAACAGTAAAATTTAAAACACTAACTAGATTTGATTGGGCAATTGACAGACTTCTGCAATCTGTCAGACAGACTTTAACAACACGTATGTCGATGACATGTTCGTCATTTGTGACTGTTTCAATGAAATATCTCAAATATTAAGCGTCCTGAATAGTGTTCAACCTAATATAAAGTTTTACACTGGAGTGTTAATGTAACGACGAATTTCATTTTTCCCGACCTTGATAACTAACATGATACAGATGGTAAAATCTTGAGGTATATCAACAGAAAAGAGATCTGGGTGTCAGTGAGGGGTGTTTGATTTATCTGAACTTCAAAGTCTTCTGCCGTATAAACTACAAAAAAGGATTGATAAGAACATTGTTTGATCGTGTAAGAAATCTTTGCTTAGAAGAAACAGTTGAGGAAGAACTTTCCATTGTGGAAAAACGCCTGGATGATAGTGGCTACCCACAGAAATTCGTCGAAAAAAATTGAAAGTGCAGCGGTGACAAAATGAATGATAGCACAGTACAGCAGAGTCCTCCTTTATGGCTGTGAGACCTGGCCATGGAGAATAGAAGACATGAAAAGATTAGCTGTATTTCATCATAGGTGCCCGCGCTCTGTCTCCCGTGTTAAGTGGTATAGTAAGATGAGCAATATTGAGGTTAGGCGTCGAGTTCTAGGAAAGGAGGGGATATCAATCGACGAGGCTGTGAAGTTACATCGACTGAGATGGTTAGGACATGTGTTACGTATGGTAGCCTAGTCATCGCCTTCCTCAAAAATGGGCAATGTTAGCTGACATACAGTCAGGCTGGAAAAGAGCTAGCGGCGGCCAAACAAGAACATGGAACCAGTCAAGGAAATCCACAACAGTTAGTTTAAGCCAGCCAAGTAGGAAGGGGTAGACTTACTGATGGTTGGAGTCCTCGGGACGGTAAAAACCAATGACAGCTGGAGACAATTGGTGATTTGGGTCAAAATCGTTCTCAATGGCTGGCGTAGATGCATCCACTCCTTGTGACCTACAATTTCCAATGAAACTCTATTGTTCTTTGTTATTATTATTCCTTTGTCTCACACCTCTGTTTACTGTCTCTATTATGCATTTCTTCTACTTTCTTCTCTTGCTTTGTGTGCTACAAATAGGGAGTGTGGCGACTTAAACTGGTGCACATATATGCAAAGTTCTATGTCGAAAACAGATAGACAGTACAGAAACAGTCGGCATTTTGTCTACAGCTTCCCTTCAAAAGTGATGATACTTCTTGGGAAATAACATGCACACTGAATGCAGCTCTGTAAACAACATATATACACATACCAAACTTGTATGTGTTTATCAAACGACTAGTTGTTTAAGACAGTCAAAATTGGACAGACTCCCACTTCATATAACCGCCAACTTTCTCTACCAATTTACATGTAAACGTTCTGCAGCGCATACATTGAAAGAACATAGGGTAGGGTTATTGTCCACATATCTGAACACATACCAAAGAACCTGAGACTAATATCCTTGTAACAGTAGAAGGCAAGACACGGAAGTCAAAGTATATTTTTCATTATTCAAACCTCTGTTTATATATCTACAGTTTATATCTGTTAATCAATCACTGAGCGTGTGATTTTGGTTTACATCAAACAACATGAAACAGAATGTCCAGATATACATAGTATTCTGTTGCGAATGCAGTATTTAACTGTGGGAATACGTGAGAATAATATTCTGTGAGAACAGCTTGTCTGTATAACACCAATACAAACTTACAGGCATGAAACATTGTGATCGCGAATCATCTATGTATTGAACACTGGCCAATTTGTGGGCAATCTGATGGTGTTCAAAATAATTAACAGACAAAAAGAACCTAGCTTGCTAAGTTTTGCTGAGGCAATCACCATTAAACGATTGAAAAGAAACCTGTAGACTCAGAAAGAAAGAGAGAGAGAGAGTGTGGTGAGTATCACACTACGTCGTCTTCTCTCCTGTTTAGAAAATTCCATTCCCTCATCCAATCTTCACTTACCCTACCCCCTCCCTTTTCTGCCCGTTTTATAAAGACATATTTTCTGTGATTACGTAACCTGTTGTTTGTTATACTTTTCCTAAGTAAACCTTGTTTCTACCTACAAAAGTCTGTTGAACTCTCTTCTTTTGTTTCCAAGCGTAGTCATCTAATCTTTCTATACACAATCAGTCCTTTTCGCTTTTAATTATTTAACAACTTACATCATTTTGGACTTGCGTTACTCTTAGTTCCTATCAATTACTCTTTGTCATCTTGGAAGAAGTATGTTCAAGTCTTTGATGTAATTTATATTTCAGGATTTCATCGTGAGGTAAAATTGGTTAGAGAAGCATTGAAAAACCATCAGGGAGTACTGCACAGCTGTTTCGTTCCAGTCCTGGGGACTCTTCATCAGTACGCACCCAACATATGGGTTCGGCCACAGGGTCTTCCGGTCACGAGACGAACTCGTAAACCATTCAGCCACTGAGACCCAATCTAATTAGCAAACTTCTACCAATTCACGATATAGCGCTACCAGTAGCCATTGTTACCTGTGGCGAGTATTTGTAGTCACAGCCGACCTGCTGTACCTTGCTGTCCACGACTTCCCACTATAACTCAGGTAACTACGTACTGAAAAGTCTCTGGTTAGAATCCCAGTGGAACGGGTCGGGGTACTGATGAGGAGCCCCAAACTAGGACGAAATAGTCGTCCAACGCCCCAAAGTTTTTCAAAGATTCTCTAACCAATGTCAGCTCATGATGAAATCCTGTAATCAATCAAATCCTGGCAAAAACCAACACTTACCATCTTTCCATTCACGTGTTGCTGGATTGATAACACCGAATAACTCATCATTTGTTACTGCTTTTGGGTCTAAATCAATAGCGACAGGTTTCTGTTTTTGCAGTTTAAATGTATGCTTAAGTGTTTTCCATACTTGTGATTTACCCGTTCCAGCATTGCCAACAATAAATACAGAATGTCTAACTTCAAAAAGTTCTTGTAATTGAACAACCTAAATATTTTGTGTGTGTGTGGAAAAAATGCAAGGGTAAAGGCAAAGAAGAATGTGAGGATGATATGCGGAAAGGTAAATAGACATTCTAGATCAGGCTGGCTTCTTAACCTGAAGATCATAGGTCATATCCATGGTGGCGTCATAGATCTCACATTAAGACGAACCACTTGTCCAGTACACACTGGTTTTCATTGGTTCTCTAAATGACCTTGATTTGTGATCGAGCTTAAAATCAATCAAGTCCTTGCAAATAGACACTTGATAATATCGAAAAATAATAACAGTATGCTTGTCAATGTAGTTGAAGATTGAACGATCAATTCATGGTTGTTTGCTCAAACCCAACTCCTCCATATTTTTCGCGGGATTCATCAATCCAGCAGTCATCGTCTCATCGTTCGCCGTTCAGTGGAAGACAGAAAACTATCAGAAGTATTATCGTGACTTATTGTTATAACATTTATTCTTAGACCTTGTGTATAACAACCTTATTGTTGGTTACATATTGGTGTAAGAATGAAGGATTCTCGAGTCGCTAATCTGTGTTCTGGTTTTTCGCGTTGGTGAATACAAATTGTTTCTGAAAGTCTTCCAGGGAAAGCGTGCGGTCCAGCGTAGTAAGAGCTGGACATTGACATTTTCTGAGAGTTGGCTGACAATGCTATTTGCATAATATGCATAGAGTTTGGGCCAGATGGCTTAAGCAGTCAATTCTCAATTGATGGGTATTGGGTGTAACTCCTGCTTCACCTGTGGCAGTCTAAGTAACTATGAAATATCACCTGTTTTTAGACAGTAAGCGCGGTTCATAGCCTGGTTGAAGAAAATTGAATTCTGATTAATTAACTAATTATAGAATGCTGGTCAACCACGCAGTTGATCCGGGTTCGATTCCTGACTGACACACTCTTAATGCTTGCTCAGATAGTAATAAGCCTCATAAAGACGTAGGGATAACAAACTCAATTATGAAATAAATAGCGTGACCACTACTGAAAATCTAGTGCTCCATCTTGAAGCTTTATGTTTCACTCGGAAATATGAAGGAATGTAAAAGGCAAATAAGTGTGATGTGTACTACTTATAATAATGAAAATAAGTAATAAATACTGTGATAGTATCTGACAAATAAATGAGATTCAATTCAGGACTGTGAAGGCGGGTGCTACAATAGACACATTAGGAACCAAAAGGGTGAGAAATCTAAAAGACAACTAAGGAAGTACAATGAATGTGTCTGGAATACAGAATGCGCGTATTGTTTGCACGAAGTATGCACGAAGTTTTGTGTTTTTCAAAGTGTATTTACAGAAACTTAACATTATCCCCCTAAGTTCTGACTGAAACATAGGGCTTTAGTAGCACATTCCAATTCCATCCTATTCTTTTCAACCCTCTTTAGCTAATCCCCTGATTGCCTATTAGCTGACATCTTCTCCTTACAGGACCTCTTTCAAGTCTCTTTCAGATGCCCAGCTTGTGTCCTACCCGAGAGCTTGATGAGCGAGATTACCCAGTAGTCTCCCCAGTGTGTGTCGAGTTCACCTCCATTTTCTTCAGGATATTTGCTGGGCGATAGGTGCTTTGTTGGTTCACTCTCTGCCATAGTTCAAGGATACATGCCCACTGCATACTAGGTTTGGGATTCAACCTCTCACCGATGCATTCCCAAACCTTATGCCTAGTCTACAAGCCAATAACGAGCAAGGAAAAGAAGGAAGTTTGGGGTTGTGAGGCTAATAGCCCACTAGAGCTACTGAAACCTGAGGCTAAAAGCTCTACGTTCCACTTGGAAAACAAAGGAAAGGGACGAGGGATACATTTTCGCAAACTCAATCTCCTTAAATTTGTGTTATCCAGCATCGAGTTTGGGGAATTCAGGGGTAAAATTTTTGAGATCTCTGATAGCTTCTGTAGAACGTTACTATGACTGCAGTCTAAGTATCATTGTCTTAACTAGTTTCTGCGTAACAGAATGTTCAGGCGAAAGCAATAATAGCGGTAAGACTATCAAATTTCAGCTTAAGAATCATTTGTTGTGTCTTTACTCTGTGGTAAGCTTGTTTTACTTTGCAACGCAAGCACACTATTCAGTACACTTGTCTCAGCCAGAAGTCATTTTTAATAGATGCTGAGCATTTTGTTCTAATAAAAAACTCTGTTACATATACGCACACCTAATTTTGTACTAATCTTAACTATATTTTGCAGTAATGCTCTAACACCAACTTTAATAAGAATCGATAACTTCAGTTATTGACTGATGAGGCAGAAAACTTCACGACAATTTGATTGGACAGCGTCTGATGCCCGACTGTGTACAACCAATCAAATTAATTATTCGTGGTCTATAAACATAGGATGTCATTTTGCCTGATAAATTTGTTATTCTCACCAGCTACTGCCAATTCTGTTTTCTGGTTTATCTGGAGTTCTTGGAGGCAAACGAAGAACGGCTATGTTCACCACCAGTGACACAGCTGATAATGCTTTGGCGATTAGAAAGATGGTTGCTGGGTATGACTTTCAGTCGGGTGATGATCAACTACATCCAGTCGACGAGTCCCTCAGCAGGACGAAATGTGCTAACAATCATCAATCTAATAGTAAATGACATTCGTCAGGAGAAAACAATAGCATTGTAAAGCGAAGCTTTTACTTCAACTAACCTTCAAGATAAATGAATCCTCTGGTTGTAAGCCTAAATCTTCAGTAGCTGCTTTTACATTTGCTTCAAAATTTAAATCACGTTTACGCGATGCATCTAAATTTGGAAACAAGTCAGATATAAGACCTAAAAATACAGCCATATCTTCAGTGACTAATTTAGGTATGTTGAAATCTCGTAGAGCACGCATTAACACGGAATCTTCAGTGTGTTCAGGATTACCACGTTTCAATGCACCAGCTACAACCAACACTGATTTAATAGCTCTTAAACCCCAATCATAATGATCTTGTTTCGAAAGTAATTCTTTGCATAATTCATATAGTGTAATAAATTTACGCGCCAATATAGTTGCCTCTAGAAATCCTTGAGCTACAAGCATAATTTCACAAATCAATTCAAAATCTGGCACTACCATAGCACATGGTCTAAAGATGAAAATAAAATTGTAAGAATGAGGGACAATTTTTAAAAATAAAAACAATAGGCAAGCAAGTTAAATCATGAGCTGAAATCAGAGTTACAGAAACATCAAAAAACTAGAGTAGAGTGAAGAGCTGTTTCGTCATGATCTAGGACTCTTCAACAGTATTTCTAGAGACTGAAACCGAGTTGTGAGGCGAGCTTGCTAATCATTTAGACACTCAAGGGGATGCGAGAGGAGAATTTAGTGTCCCATGCATACTACTGAAGAGTTTCGGTCTTGGAAGGAACAGCTATTCAGTGCTTCCCAGGTTTTTAGTGGCTCTCAGACTGACGTCAGGTGGTGGTATAACTTGAAACGACGAAAATGCCTGTAAACTAGATTGTGTCATCACACTAATCTCTCGACTACACAGTTTAAACTTGCTATGACTATGGTGAGTACTAATCACAGTTTCACTTTTTATATCCATGCGTAATTTACAATTTTCTGAATAAAATAGGAAACTGTTGTTATTGATTGGTCTTGTGAAGAGTCATCACATCAAAATACGCATTATAGGGATATAAGGATAAGTTATTGAGAAGACGTTGATTTATTTGTTGGTGAAATGAAGGTTAATTGAACCTTCTCATAATCCTCCGGTCATTCTGAAATAATACCACTTTATAAGTGGTTCCTCATGTCATTCTCTGAGTTGAATTGTTTTTTTTTAATTTTTATGGAATCTGTTGGTCATGGTCGCACTTGGCATCATCAAGCATCTTATTGAAAACCCTCTAATATTAGAAATTTAATAATTGTCAAATGAATGGATACTGAACAAAGAATACTCTTTTCGATAACCTGTTCTTCATCAGCTCTACAATTATATATACATTATAGTGAATGAATGAATGAATTAGTGTTATGAACAACAATAATGTTGTTTAAATAACATCGAATCAATAATATTGATCGATTACTGCTCAGATGGAAGAATGAAATGAATGCTATCCTTCGACGTGACAGCATTATATACCTCAATCGGACAAAACCTAGCAAAAGAAACCATGGAGCAATTACTTAGCGACGACGAACACCTTCCACAACAATCAAAAATGCAACACACAAGCTGGATGGAATGCACAAACCTATGCCTAACAACATACTTCCAATTCAACGGCCAAATATATGAACAAGTCAAAGGAACACCCATGGGATCGCCAATATCAGGTTTGATTGCAGAAGCAGTGATGCAAAGACTCGAAAACATAATTCTACCAAAGATCAAACCCAAGATTTGGATACGCTACGTCGACGACACATTTGTAATAATCAAAAGAAACGAGTTAGATAAAACTCACAACTTAATAAACAACGTCTTCAACGACATCAAATTCACAAGAGAAGAGGAATCCGAGAAAAAATACCATTTTTGGACGTCTTAGTCAAGGGAACAACCACAGGGGAATTAGAAACTCAAGTTTATAGGAAATCAACTCACACAGACCAAATCCTGAATTACAACAGCAACAACCCAATAACACACGAAAGGAATTGCATACAAACACTGTTCAAGAGAGCAAGGACTCATTGCAGCACTACCGCCTTAAGGAAAATTGAAGAAAAGTATCTCATGGACGTCTTCCAAAAGAATGGATATCCACGGAATTTCATCAAGAGACATATACCCCCAAGCCAACCTACCAAAGCAAAAGCCACCAAGGAAAGCACAAAGAAAATCGCCTTACCATATATAAAGGATATCTCAGAAATCACTACAAGACTCTTCAGACCTTTAGGAATTGACGTCGTACACAAACCAACAAAGTCGCTTCACTCAATTCTATGTCAACCAAAAGATGTCACCCAGTAGGTGAAAGCTTCGCAAATTAACCATCCAGCTCAGAGAACACAACCACATCAAAAAGAGTATTCTTTGTTCAGTATCCGTTTTTTGAAAATTTTAATGGGCATTTTTAGTCAATTTAATATTTGCTTCAACAATACACAGTGTAGTGTCTCAAATCTTTATCAACCTCATTCAACAGATATATGACAGTAACACGTGTTAGGTGGTCCACAACACAAAACTCAGTGAAGCGTGTAGAGTGAATGCTGGGGTAAGACAAGGGTGTGGTTGTCGACTATCATCCCTCATTGTCGTCGACTGGATTATACATCAGACTATGGGAAGTGAGGAAGAAGAAGAAGAAGACTCTAGATGATCCAAACTTCGCGAATGATTTACGTCGGTTGTCACTTAAATCATAAGACGTACAGGCGAAGACCGAAAAACCGGAAAAAGAACCAGGTGGCGAATACAGGACTTCAAGTGGACATGGAGAAAACGGACAGTGGTGATGAAGATAACTAACCAACCAGCCAACAACATTAAACACCAACTACTATCAATGTTAAACCAGTCAGTCACTTCACCTACACTGGTCAGAAACTTACACTGCGCTTCAATAAAGTCATTTCAAACAGCAAGCTGTAAACTTTTACCAACACCTACCTTCCTATGGCTGCATTCTGTAGATCAGATAGCCAGGTGGCCAGAAAGAACTAGCAGGAAGAAGAAACTTTCAGAGCGAACCAACCAAGAACTTATCGCCCAATAAATATGTTGGAGGAAATGGAGATAGATAGGAGACCACGCTGAGAAAACCGCCGAATGATATAGCATGCCAGTTGACCGTTCAAGTGGAACCCGAATGCGAAACAAAGAGTTGAGTGTAGGTCCGAGGGTGATATGGAGCAGATGAAAGTTTATAAGCAACCATAGAGTCAACTAGAAGAGACTATATAGAATGGGACAAAAATGGAGATGTAGTGTTGAAGAAGCCCTGTGTACCACCCGAAGTGCAAAGAAAATGTGGCAAAATATGCAAGAGGCAAGTAATTACAAGAGTTACATGATAAAATCAAATCAGATATTAGGTGTCAAATACCTAAACAATGCCTTTAAATTCTCAGGCAGTTCTGTTCGACCAGCATAACCTGGATTCATTGTAATGAAAAGACCAACAGCTGGATCAAGTGGTATTACTTCACCAAGAAAATTGAATTTCTCCTTCTTCAACCGGATTGCATCTTGAATACATTTCACCTAGACACATAGAATTCGAATAGAGAAAGTAAAAGAAGAAGGAATTATAGGAGGAAAAAAAACTTAAGCAGAAACATGGCATATACTACTGAATTACACAGAAATCAATAACACAAATCAATAATTGACAACACTATGCAATAGCAGCCAATGATAACCTCGACCATACACAACCAATCAACTCAGCTACCAAAATGGCACCACTGAGCACATGAACAGTTATTGGTTAGTATTAGGAAGGATTCATTTCAAATAATCGGAGTTAATTTCAAACAGTTCATAATATTTTATACATCTAAGTCAACTGTGTACATGGTAGGGAGTTAGATTCTTGGCCGATGAACTACCAAATCTCGTCTAGCCAACATTAAGACAGGAAATGCTACTGAAGCTTCAGAACTCAAGCTCGAAGGTGTATGTTCCCTTCAGAACTCAAAAGGGATAAAAGGAAACACAATCTCAGGTGCCTTTGATCTATTTTAAGACACACACTAAGAAATTTGAAATAATGTGAACAGTTTGCAGAACAACACCATCAATAAGGTAATACTTAAGACTTGCTATGAAAATCCTTGTTTCTGACTTTCTATTGGTTATCAAAGTATGTCATATCAAATGATGATACAAATATATGTATATGGTAAAAGTACTCGACCCTGCAGTCCTTGAAACAGTCAAGCGAAATTGAATTTTGGGCGTGAGGACAAATATTCACTGATAACATTGGCTGATGGTGGTGCTTTATGTCGTGAACTGGAAGAAGTTAGAATTCATGGATCATTCGATCGGGTCCCATTGGCTGAATCGTCACTGGGCTCACACCGTAACTTCATTTTTTATTTTTATCTTATTCTTGATTACAGCTTGATTCCACACCGTATTTTTGGTACAAGTATGGAATTTTCAGCGTGGATATCGGAAGCCCAAATTTCGCAGGACGACCATAGATATCAGGTGTGCGTTGGCGTGGGCTCGAGCCCCGGACCATGTGCACGGTCAGCGAGAGTCCTAACCACTGTGCCACTGACGCACAATTTTGGGTTCCCTTTGTTGTAATAATGGATAGGTACTGATGAGGAGTCTTAAACAAGAACGAAACAGCGGTCCAGTACTCCCTGGTTTTCGATGGTTCTCTAACTGCGATCATAAAGTGATCTAACTTCCAAATCAAAATTGGTACATTACCGTTTTTAGAAGAAACTTAATTCGAAGTAGTGTTGAAAGCTTGGATCTTGTTCTTTATGCTGAATGCAAAAGATTTCCAAACTGACTTTGAAGTGATGAAAGTCTATCTCCTCTTTACAATTCAGGTATTGAAATCCCTATCTATGCTGGCCGGCTGTCGTTGAAAAGATGCTTCCTGGATGCATAACTGAAGTAAGTGATCTCCCTCAAATCTATTGCGTTGATGTTAATGTTGCTTGTTGTGGTTGTCGCTAGTTGGTTATTTTCATCACCCCCGTCCGTTTTCTCTATGTTCACCTATAGTCCTATCTTATCTGCCGGCTTCTCCATCCGGTTTGTTAGTTTTCGCCTATAGATCTTTGAGTTTGTCTGACATGAGACATAAATCATCCACCTAGAAATCCACTGGATCTTCTGGCATCTTCTTATAGCCGAACATATTCGTGTCTTCTCACTTCCAATGCACAGTCTGACAAATAACCCAGTCAGTTAGATCGTTTATTTGAAGTATCCATTAATTCTGACGACAAAGTCTAGTTTCAGAAAATTAAACTAGGGGCCAATAAATTACGAAGCAATGTAACCAGTACCCAAATATTCTTTAATTTCACAGAGGACAACTCAATAAAATAACTAACTAATCTATTGCTCATTATTAGGAAGTCATGAGCGTTGGGTTCCATTAAGTTCCCTGTGAGGATAAACACTCACTGATGACACTAGCTGGCACTTGCACTAATAGTAATAATACTAATAATTCTCTTTATTCCAAATCAGCACTAATGATTCCTTCCAAGTGTCTAGATAATCAACGAGCTTGTCCTTTAACCTGGAGGTTGTGTCCCTCATGGGGTGATGAATATGTGCCTCTGAAGAGTCCCTGTCTAGAACGAAACAACTGTCTAGTAATCCCTGGTGGCTATTCAGCTGTTCTCTAACTTATGTCACTTCATAATCAAACCTCTAACCTAACAAATCCCTGCTAATCAACACTTCATAGTTAAAGGGAAAAGAACAAGAAGTTCAGCAAAGTCGGCGATTTGTTCGGCGATTTCATTCTCAAAAGCAGCTGTACAATCGCATTTATATACATTGGTTTACATGGATACAATTGTTATTTATTTACTTAATTCCACATAGTAACGAAGTTGATAATAATTTTCAACTTGATATGAAAGTTTGAAGGTACGTATATAAATTCTCTAGCCGTCCACTACTTCGGAGCAACGGGGAGGACAGACTTCCGCATATAACCACTTCATTGTGCATATATCACCTCACCTGCTCCTGTGGAGCTAGGTACAGAGGTCGTTCTATGCAGGTCTTATCAAAACGTGTTAGAGAACATCATCCAGCATAGCTGCAAAGAGGAGGAGGCACTGGTTCAATCAGAAACGCAATAACTGAACACCTACCTCGTCAATACCTGCTACAGAATCTCAACTGACTCATAATTCAGAGTCATTCACAAAGTAAACAAAAATCTACCAAAGACAGTGCGTTTCTGACTTCTTTGTATTGCGGAAGCTCTCACCATATGCATCGGAAAGCCGGAGCTATGTGTTCAAAAGAAACTAGCCCAGCCTTTACAACTACAATGGACGTAGTTCGGTATGTTCCCCCTATCCTTCAGTTTTTTTGTTTTGTTTTGTTCTCTGTGTGTGTGTAATTTTCTCTTTTTGTCTTCATTCAATTCATCCCATTTTTTTCAGTTATAAAATCATTTATTTTAAGTTTGTTTCCATGCTTCTCCTGATCACACTTGTAATCCGTTTAGAATAACCATTTTACACTTATATTCTAATCCTGTGTAATTTTTTTGTTTCTATGCCTCTTGTTGTCTATATTCACACCTCCTAACTTACATTTCAAGTTGAAAAATTTGATTTCAGTTTGTTTCCATGCTCATTTTGTTCACACATGTAATTCGTTCTATCTCTGCGTAACATTTGTTTCTGAGGCTCTTGTAATTCATATCAAGTTGAAAATTATCATCAACTTCGTTACTATGTGGAATTAAGTAAATAAATAACAATTGTATCCATGTACACTAATGTATATAAATGCGATTGTACAGCTGCTTTTGAGAATGAAATCTTTGCTGAACTTCTTGTTCTTTTCTCTCTAATGTCCCAATGGGTATTTTCCACGACTTTATCGTTTCATAAATCATTGTTAGCGGGTGTCTAATTTTAAATCTTAATCATGTTATTTGTGTGTCGTGGCACAGCGGTTAGGACTCTCGCCGACCATGCTACATGGGCTACCAACATCACATGCTTAAAAATTCCATACTTGTACCAAAAACTACGATGTGGAATAAAGCTGTAATCAAAAAATATTAAATAATTATAAAACTTACTGCTCAAACAAGTGGGAAAAAATATATCTATATATATCCACTTACTTGTACAGCGACAACAGATAAAACTTCCACTGCTATCCGATTGAATTCATCAAAACATCCCCATGCACCAGTCTGTGCTAATCCCTTGTAAATATTACCAATTGACTTGTAATCCATTTGTTCAGAACAATTGAACACATAGACCATAATGCCTAGTGCACGGCCTAAATCTTTTGTTGTCTCTGTTTTCCCCGTGCCAGCTGGTCCAGCAGGTGCACCACTCATACATAAATGCAGTGATTGTGTCAGTGTGATATAACATCGATCAGTTAACGGTGTAATGACCAGTCTTGGTGTATTGCCTAAATATTCATAAGCATAACGAAATTGTGCATCACAGATATTAGCAAAACAATCGTGTGATTTATCATCCCATCTATGTCTCAACTGGGATAACCATGTGAAAGCTAGTGAACTTTCAACTTTTTGTGATATCAACTTTCCGACAACATCACGATTATGTACATCGATAGTGCATAAAGTCATAATTTTTGTCGATCACCAGCTGACAGATCAATTAATAGCATTTGTATTAATGTACTCAGTTGGGCAATTTGTTTTCTATTATACTCTTTCATTGCATTCTCTAAGCCTTCTTCTAGTCGAGCAAATGCAATCAACACTTCACTATTCCAACCGATTTGTGAACCGGTTAAAGCTATCTGCGCCGGATAGTCAAATATCCATTGATCTCTTGGTTTCTCTTCATAAGCACTGACTGCATCTGCAAGAATGTGACGCAGAGTGTTGCGCATTTCATCTAACAGTTTATTTAACCATTCTTCAACTTGACCTTGTAAATCAAATGATTTTGTGAATTTCACTACTTCACTATCCTAGAGAGAGAGAGAAAAGAATGAAAGGAAGGCGTAGAATGTTGATAAGAAGATAAAGGCAGGTGGGTGAAAGCTACAATTATTACAGATCATTTTTGAAGGGGACCACTATCATTATTGCTATTATTCTCTCTCGGTACCTAGTGGAGCATATGGCTCCTAAAATCCTCTTCAGCTGGGTCCACAATTACCCATAATCTCTCATCTTTTTCTCCCCGGACGATCTCCTCCATGTTTTTTTTCCTTTATTTCAGAAACAGTACTAGTGGCGCAGTGTGGAATATTCAGCATATATCTACAAATATTGCATCTAATTTTATCAAACATTTAAAAGGAGTATTTCAAAAAAAATAAATATAAAGACAACAACAACAAAAACAAACAAAAAACAGAAAAAAAATACAAGATGTGAAAAATACCAAAAAATAGAAAGGAAAATAAACAACATAATAAATAATATTTCAGTATTGGGTAGTGGAAGGTATGATATATTTATGCTTGGTGACAGAAGTTATGAAATGATATTTAAGAATGTTTATCGTCATGATGATCAGTCAATTTGATTGAACAACACTAAACAATCACAAAATAACATTTCAGGGTTGTCTTTTATTGTCAGCTCTAATGCGGTGTTTGTAGTGGGTAGTGTGAGTAATCCTGCATAATACAAAATTATTAAGATGGTAATAACGGCGTTCACAAACCAAGATTGTCAGTTAATATTGCCGAACAAAACAAAACAATCACAAAACTAATATTACATGAAGGTTATTGGCAGGACAATTTTGTAATGCTCATAGTGACAATATAGTCGGGACCAGTAGATACACAAAAGAAGGAATAGAATAAAGTACAAAAAAAGTAAGCCAATGTTAATAATTTAGGTAGCTAAGCACGTTTAAGAAGGCGCTCACTACAGAATACAAATAAGAGAGAAATAAAAGAGCCAAGCAAGTCATAGTTTTCGCGCTTAACATTCTCTGTGTCACTTAGAACACGGGTCAAATATGGTATCGTTGAGTTCCTGTACCTGGTTGTACAAGCATATATTATTTTGTACTGATTTCTGGTTCTACATGATGAGATACAACGAGAGAGTTGGGAATACAGGGGGTGCTGGGGGTCGGAGAGTATGGTGGTTTTAGACCATTTCTCGCATGTATTCAGATAACTTTCTACTAATGTAGTGACGAGTTAACTGAGTTTTACACCACTAGTCCTACTAACTACCGTCAACATCCTTCTCAGAATGGTATAGTCCTTTTTCAGTAGCCTAGGAAAGAACAACGAGAAGCGGTAAAGTAGAATAGGTAAGATACGAGAGTTGACAAATTGTGAAAGTAGAGTTTGGGTGATTCCAGATAGTCTAAGTTTCTTAATATAGTAGGTTAGGTGGGACACTTTGTTAGAAATCGTTAAGATATGAGATGACCAAGTAAGGTCGGAAGATAGAACTAGACCGAGGTATTTTGCATTAGACTTAGTTTCAATTTTAGTCCCCTCAATGCGACAGGCTTCATGAGTACTTACTAGTGTTCGCAGATCTCGTTTATGCCTAAAGGAAAAGCCAAATAGTCTGGCATTTTGAGGGATTCAGCATGAGGCCATTTAGTTTGGACCACTGACTGATGCCTGACAGGAAGCTATTTAATTTGAAACAGTCTGACTGAGACTTAACGGGAAGCGAAACAGTCAGGTTATCTGCATATTTTACGAAGTTGATTTCGTCTGAAAGAGGTAAGTCATGTAAGAAGAAGGAAAAGAGAAACGGAGAAAGAACAGAAACGGAAGCCCTAATCTTCGTTTCCATTGGGATTCCACTCAAGCGATGGCCTGCATTGAGCGCGGTGTCATTCGATGGCCTCCTCAAAGTATACCCCATCAATCCATCTCCATTTGTTTAGCAATCCGCTACCGCCTGTTGGTTTGTTCACTGCCAAAGTTTCTTGTTGCTAGTTCTTTCTGGACGGCCGGCCATGGCGAAGACACTGTTGATAAAAGTCTGTAACTTGTTGGAAATCCTTTCCGTGAAACACACTGAAAATTTCTCGCCCATAGAGAAGAAGAGACTGACTTCACATTTGTGTTGAACAGAATCCCAATCTTCTTCTCAATGCTGGTTGAGTGCAACTCAGGAGATTTCCTAACTGGTTTCAGATTGACGAAGGTGTATCTTGCCTTTCCGATTCTGGCTGGCTGGTTTTGACACCCTCATCTATGCCTTCCAACTGTCTGTGGTTGAAACCGTGCCTCCTGGCCGGATAAGTGAATGAAGTAACCTCTGTCAAATCCCTCGCGTTTATGGTGATCTGTGCCGGTTGTTGTTGCTGTTCGTTTGTTATCTTCATCACCTCTGTCTTCTCCACGTTCACCTGGAGTCCTGTCTCCTCCAGCTGCTTCTTCGGCCAATTTGTTGGTTTTTACATGTATATGTTGGAGTTTGTGTGAGAGTAGACATTAATCATCTGCGAAATCCAGATCTTCTAGAGTCTTTCCATCCGCCTAACGTATTCGTGCCTTCTCACTACCTAAAGTCTGAGGCATAATCCAACGACAGGTATCGGAAGCTCCTGAACGGGAAATTAATATTACTTGTCTTGCGTGATTAAGGTCATTAGAATGCTGAGAACCAATGACTTCCAACTGTTGGTAATAGGGTTTAAAGATCTTATAAAGAATAATCGTCTTTCTGTTGTCTCTGGAGCGCTTTGTGACTGTGCCTATGGGAAGAAGATTCTCAGACAGCTGTGCAGTAGGACACCGACACTAGTTTCCTGCGTTTAGACCATGACAAGTTGATTTGGGCCGTTACAAGACCTGTGTTTTCTATGCAACTCTTGGACTAAACATTTTGCCTTAACCTAACTGGTCAAAACTTGTAGTTGACTCGTCATTTGCCTTTAAAATCTATCTTCTACATCTTTTCAGCAGTATAAGAATAGTTTCCGTCATATACTGTTGTGTTTCGTAGGTCTCTGCGCTGAATAACAGCGAGTTTTTTTTTAGCTCAAACCATCATTCAGTTAGATAGACACCAAAATCAAGTATCAAGAAGTTTTGTCCATTTTTTCTTTCCTCTTCTTTCTTGGCGCTTTTCGGGTGCATTTTTATTAAAAGTGTTCCATTAAAATGACATTTCGAATATTTATTGATCGCCTTTTCAGATATTGTTTTGTTGTTTACTTCCAAACGACCTGTAATAAGGACAGTGAATTAACTAGATTTCCCATCAACATCATTCTTCTGAATTTTCTATAAAGAGAAGTTTAATGTATCCTTATTTTTGGATAGATTATGTCCAACTTTTAGGTGAAATATCCTATACGAATCTTATAATGCTTATTGTGTGTATGTGTATGCGTGTATATTTCTACAACTATAAAAATGATTGTGATTGTATAATTCTATGCTGAAATCCAATGGGTCAATATTCGTTCATGGTATATCATCACAAGTTTGCTACAACCTGATTGGATGATATAATTCCCCAACTGACCAATCAGAATGAAGTAATCTGTCATTATGTACTTCAACATTGGGACAAAATTCACTCGATGATGGGGAAGTAGATGAGATGGTTGATGTATTATTCATGTCTGTGTCTCAATGAATCTCATGCTTCGAGAAAGTCGAACGTAGATATTTTGTCAGCATCAACTTGTGTTGAAGTGAACCGAGGTTTTATTGCTTCTTAAGAGATTCTACTCTTGTTAACCAGCCTAGATGACTGTCTAAATCAGTTCAATCCTTTTATCATTTAACATCTTATGGATGAAGTATATCATTTCAGAGGTGAATGATACAAGTTTCCTCTCTGTGAATGAAAAAATTTTATTTCATGAAATTGAAAACAAATGAGTCAGCAAGGAGATTTCATTTCCTGTGGCAAGTCACCAGCGAACATCAGATTAATTTTCTGTGGTGTGGTTTGCAAGGGTTAGTTTTGTTTTTACGAGTTGATCACGGATTGATATCGCTTAGAGAACCACTGAAAACCGTTGAGTGCTGGACAGTTGTTTCATCCTAGTTTGGGAATCATCGGCAGTACGCACCCACTGCCAGGGTTGCAAGGCAAGCTCGTATACCATTCATCCACTGAGACCCTATTCAATAACCAGTCCATGAATTCTAACTTCTACCAATTCGTGATTTAGTGCCACCACAACCAATGTCGTCGGCGGGACATCCATCCTCACACGTGACATCTGGATGGACTCCACTGGTCACGTCTTCTCATTAGAACTCTAGGAAACTCCATCCTGTAGCAAGTCACTAGCGAGCATGAGATTAATTTTCTATAGTTTGGTTTGTAAGTGCTAAATCATGAATTGGTAGAAGTTAGAATTCATGAGACATTCAATCGGGTTCCAGTGACTGAATGGTATACAAGCTTGCCTTGCAACCGGAAGGTCCTGGGTTCGAAACCCTGTGGTGGGTGCGTACTGCCGATGATTCCCAAATTAGGACGAAACAGCTGTCTGGTGGTACTCCGTCGTTTTCAATGCTCCTCTAACCGATGTCAATCAGTGATCATTTCGTAAAATAAAGATCTCATTTCGTAACTTCAATTCAAAGCTGTACAGAAAGTTAGAGGAACAATAAGTTCTCCACTTGGCCCATTACTGGTCGTTTGTTTCACGGCGTACCTTGAGTCAAATATTCGCTTACCAACGATCAGACGGTTTGAAGTTCACAAGGGGTATATGGATGATATATTTATCATCAGTGATGAAAATACTGACCTAAATAAAAATCGTGTGAATCTTCAGCAACACCCATCAGCCAGTTTAATTCAAAACTGAAACGGAAGCAGAACAGAAGAAGAACTCTAATCGCCTCTCAGGTGACAAGAATCCACCTTATATGCACTGAAGATGCATTGAATAAGGAGTTGGAATTCTTTGGAAAATTTCTGCTCACAACACTGGACATTCAACCTCCTCTTTCAGAGGCAAACATCCAAAGAGAATGACCGATACCCCTCTCGAAACCTAAATTTACCAAAGAAACAATTAATTGTATATCTGAAATTATGGAAATATACAATTAGTGAGGTTCTACGAAGCTGCCTGTCGACAGCAATTCAAAAACGTTCTCTACAGCTGCATTTCACCGTCTCATCTCCTTCACACATGCTCTTATTCACTGAAACGTCAAAGGCCATATTGCATATTGTTCTGAACTTCAATGTGTATTTACCGATTTTGTTTCTCCTGTGGAGTTGTTTACATAGGCCGTGAACCAGTAGGACACTGTCTGGATGTGTCCGTGAATACTTACCACCATGTTTGTCAAAAGGAAGGATGTAGAACAGCTAACACCTCAGTTCTGAAGTATATTATTACCAATTCTGGTTACGCAGCACCTTGGATCAGTTCTTTCCTCTGACCTTTCATGGTCATCCCACATCTTATCTATCTGTAAGAAAATGTTTCGTCTTACCTTCTACATTAAAAAGTTAAGACAATCAGGTGTCATCCAACCTTTACTTCTGCAGTTTGTAAACTCCTGTATTTTACCTATTGCACTCTATTGCTCTCCATTAAGCTTTCCTGGGCTTCTCAAAAAAGATTATATCATATTACGAAGAGTATTAAATGCTGTGAGTAGGGCTTGTGGTGTGCCACTGCGTTAGCTCGCCAATGCTATGGTCGAGAGACACATAAATTCCTGTACAAAATGGCCAAAGGCTGCACTGTCAGACCCTCTGTACCCCCCTTAATTCACAACTATCCCCTTGTATCTCATCAGGTAGGACGAGAAGTCAATATAATAAGTTATATGCTCGTACCACTCAGTAAAGAAATTCTACAATACCCTATTTAGCCCGTACCTTATGTGACGAAGATTCTGTTAGACGTGAAACACATAAGTTACTATGTAATTAGCAAAGTGAATCGACCCTTTTATCAGTCATCTTTCTGTAATTTTATGGTGTCACCCTTTCTATCGTTTAATTATAACTTTGCTATTTTATTTTAGAATTTATTACTATTATCACTGTAATTTTATACTTTATGCATATTTTTCTTCGTATTGCATACAGTAATTTGCTACATAGCTGCTATAACAACGTTTTATTATTATTATGTAATGTTTGTTTTCATTTTTTTTTCGTTTTTGAGTAAATTAGATGCAATATTGTACTGAATACTGAAAATTCCTTTCTGTATCACTAGTACTGTTTTTGGAATAAAGCAAAAATTATTAATATTATTATCAGCAGAGACTTATTCTTTTAGAGTCAGTCAGATATAAAGTACAATTAGGACATCCGAAGGGATTTCGCCCATATCTTCTTCAGGTCACCTAAGCCTTAACAATCCTAACTGACAATAACCCTTAACCCGTAATGTCAATCTATACCGCATATATAAACATCTTTCAAATGAAGATATAAGAAGAGATCTCTTTACTGACTCATATGTTCTCAACTTTCCCTCAGTCTGTAAATACGTCTTGCTGTTGAATGGTGATAAATATCATATTTCATGAAGCACTCATAACTTCTTCCGGGTTAAATTATAATATCTGATATTACGACAACTGCTAAATGTCAGACCACCAACCTCTACGGCTTGGCATGAATGATTTCCGACTAGTCGAATAACACCGAGAGGTACTCTAGCGATGATCGGCCGTAAAGAGAATGCGAAGAAAATACATTGCACTGATCAAGGCACTCTACTTGAACTCGTACAGCCAGGTGAGGGCTTACAGCGAGTTGTCACCTGAAGTGGTGAGGACTAGTGGTGTCCGTCAGGGATGCCCATTATCCCCATTTCTTTTCAACTTCATCATAGATGTACTGATGGACTTAACCCTAACTCACTTCAAAGAAACAGGGATTGACTTGCTACCAGGGAATGATCTCGTCGACTTAGAATATGCAGATGATATAGTCCTCTTTCCTAGGTAAAGAGGCTGACAAAACGCAGAGTCTTTTGAATACATTGAGCTGCAATCTACGAATGTCTCGCAAGCGATTCGCTCCCGCCAAATGTAAGATGATGTTACAGGACTGGACTGGACTACACTGAATCCTAGTTTAGAAATAGGGAGTGAGGTAGTAGAGCACGTTGACCGCTTCACTTATTTGGGAAGTACCATCAGCCAACGCCAACGGGTTGATCTCTGACGAAATCTCAGCACGGATACAGAGGGCTAGTTTTGCATATGCCAGTTTACGCCGTCTCTGGAGTAGACGTGATATCCGGCTGGCTATCAAACAAGGGGCGGGTGCACTGCTCATCAGTCCGCTCCGTCCTCCTTTGTCACTGCGAGTGAGACATGGCCATTGAGAGTGGAAGACATGAAAAGACCTGCTGGCTTTCTTTGCTCATAGGTGCCTGCGATCTATCTTCCGTGTGAAGTGGCATAATAAGGTGAGGAATATTGAGGTGAGGCCATGGTCGAGTGCTAGGTAGGTGGGAGGGGAAATCAATCAACGAGGCTGTGAAATTACATCGACTGAGATGGTTATGATACGTGTTACGTATGCATGCCTAGTCATCGCCTTCCTCGAGAATGGGCAATGTTAGCTGACATACAGTCAGGCTGGAAAAGAGCTAGCAGCGGTCAAACCAAAACATGGAACCAGTCAATGAGATCTACAACAGTTAGTTTAAGCCAGCCAAGTAGGAAGGTGTAGACTTCCTGACTGGTTGGTGTCCTCGGGAAGGTAAAAACCAATGACAGCTGGAGACAATTGGTGATATGGGTCAAAATCGTTCTCAATGGCTGGCGTAGATGCATCCACTCCTTGTGACCTACAATTTCCAATGAAACTCTATTGTTCTTTGTTATTACTATTCCTTTGTCTCACACCTCTGTTTACTGTCTCTAATATGCGTTTCTTCTACTTTCTTGTGTTGCTTTGTGTTCTACATGGAGTGTGGCGACTTGAACTAACGCACATATGTGCAAAGTTCTATGTCGAAAGTAGACAGACAGACAGACCGATATTCTAGCCAGCGCACAGCGGATAAAATCGATAATCGGCTGATTGGTTCTAATACCATCATCAGTAGATTCCTAACGTGACGCATACGTACTTGTGTGTAACTTACATGTTCCATGCCTGATTGGGAGATTTCAGTACACTGATATTAGTACCAGTAAAGCGAGGACTAGTACCCAGGATGCCTCACCTTCAGACACAGATGTCACATTAGCATCAACAAGCATCCGATTGGTTGACTGCTATAAGATACTTCTTCTAACGTCCTATGTAAGGAAGAGAAGACAGTCTGATATCATTCAGTCTTTCCACTTAAAGTCTGTTAACAATTGCTTTCCCCCCACGTTAATCTTCGTTGGAATACTTAACAAAGACTTTATTACATTATGAAGAACATTAAAAGTCATTAGTAGGGCGAGTAGGGTGTCACTGAACCAACTCTTTAATACTGTCGTGGGTATATACATGGACTCATACAAGAAATTACCGAGTATTATTATGTCAGCCCCTGAGCATCCTGTGTATACATACACAACTTTGTCCTTGCATCATCTCATGAAGTAGGTCAACCTAGAAGCAATTATTGAAGTTTTTATGCTCTGATGACTAAGTATAAAACTCTACAATACCTTTCATTTGGTCGGGACACATTTTATGTGATGACAGAGGTGCAAGGCGTGATACTAATAATTTGCTGAAGAACACTAAGTATTCATACTGTCTCTCTCTCACACACACACACAATCGATTACACACACCCTCGAAACCTGTGCCGTTGTTGAATTTTGTTCCACCCCCATCGTATATTCTACCCACAATACACATTTCTGGTATTAATCTAACTTGCCTTTACTGACTAGCTATTGTATGCTTAAATCGATGGACTTATTTTCTATAGTTTGGCTTGTAAGGGTTAGTTATGTTTTTTCCAAGTTGATCACAGATAGATATTAGTTAGAGAACCATTGAAAATCAGGGAGTACTGGACAGCTGTTTTATCCTAGTTTGGGAATCATCGGTAGTACGCTAAATCACGAATTGGTTGAAGTTAGAATTCATGGACTGGTCATTGAATCGGGTCCCAGTGGCTGAATGGTATACGAGTTAGCTTGCCTTGTAACCGAAAGGTCCTGGGTTCGAAACCCTGTGGTGGGTGCGTACTGCCGATGATTCCCAAACTAGGATGAAACAGCTGTCCAGTACTCCCTGGTTTTCAATGGTTCTCTAACTAATGTCTATCCGTGATCAACTCGGAAAAATCAATGGACTTATGATTATAAAGCCTGAAGAAGAATTTATTGAAACCACAATTATTCGCTCTAACTATGTCTGCTCTAAAATCACATGGTACTTGAAGCCTTATGTTCCACTTGAACCTCACCAAAAAAAATAAAATATAAAATAAAAACATAAAGAAGAAAATGGTAAACAAAACAAGATGGCGGCAAAACTTACTTTAGCAATCATATGCGTAGCATGTTTAATTGTAGCTTCAGGATTGGCAAATGTTAGACTACAAATACTATCAAATAATTTTGATAAATGACGTATCACTTTCAGCGGGACTTTTCCATTGCTAACAATATCAGTCACATCATTCTGTGAGACAAAATAAAATCTTGGAAAGGCTAGACGTTTTGTCTCTAGATAATCAGCTAAAGCCTTTTCACAAATCGCCAGACCATCTCGTACCTTTTGGATGTCATTGAGTAATTCTAGTCGTGTAGTTGTAGCATCTAACACTTTTGGTTTACTTTGTATCTCATCGATTAGAACACGAAAATCTTTATCCAGTGACATAAATAATTCTGTATCTTTCGGCAATTTCGCTTTGATATCATCACATAGAACAAATATTGACTCTAAACCAGACCATACACGTTGTGTTTCAAACCAGATAGCGAGTACCTGGTCAGTAAGGGATAGAGTTTTATGCCAATAATTAATTTTATCAATATAATAGGCATTATCTCGATTGCCTAACATATCTAATACTTTAACTTGTATTTCTTCAAGGGTTGTAGTTAAATAATCTGTTTGTTTTGGTAAACTCAAACCTGTTCTATCGTGTGTATCATATTCAAATTTCATTTCACTCCATACTTGTTCAATCTTGTCAAGATCACGTTCAATTTTTTGTTCATTCAATGATTTTGATACAATAGCGCGTACTTCTTCTTCGAATTTATGCAAATTTAATGATAGTAGATCAGCTAGGGTTGTTGTATCAGTGATTTCTATTAGACGACCAGTTTCTTGCATTAATTCTGTCCAATGACGAGACTTGACTGCAGGATTTTGTAGATCTCTTACAGCTGTTACTGATGCATTAATATCTTTTAATTCAGCCTCTAAACCTTGAAACATTGGCCATTGACGAACTTCTTTATCCATTGTACGTATTTCCATTGAAATTTCACGGATGACCTAAGGCATAAATGTGAAAAAAAACCAGTCAGTTACTCACCATACCATGTTTTAGTTTATCATTATTTCATAATAATTTCTATCACAGTTATACATATGCATTTAGTTTTATTAGCTAATGGTTATCCGGAGAACTTTATCACTTGTCACAGTAAGGATACACCACATCTCGAAAAGACAGCTTCTGTACCAAAGAAAGCTATCTACCTTTGTTAACCTACCATTCAAGGGTGACCAGATTATGCAGTTGACAGCTAACTCAAAGACTTCGGTCAGCCATCAAACGCACGTTCTACGTCGCATCTCTTTTTCTCACTTGCCGAACATTTTCGATCCCTGTACCTACGATTAAAGGACGAAATTCTGTGAACTCTACTTCAAACTGTATCTACAAGTTCACCTGCAGCTGCGGTGACACCTATATAGGTAGAACCAACAGAATGTTCCAATGTCGTCGGAAAGAACATGTTCCAAAATGGCTAGTAAATCATATCGAAAATCCCAACGCGATTACTCTGAATAGAAATCCAGCATCATCATCCACTGCAAAGCACTTATTAATGTCAGGTCATAAAATCAATATTAATGATTGCTTCACAATTATTTCATCACATAACTCTAATTCAAGGTTGGTTATCGAAGGTGATGGAAGCACTTTGGAGGATTATCACATACAGCCTAAACTGTGTGTACAAAGGACAATAGACTTCAACCTTCCTTCGCCTAGCATGGACTACATGACCTACTTAAATAAGATTGGTCATTTGTATGTACTTTTGTTTTTTATTTAACTGAGTAATTGTCATTAACTTTATTTTATCATTGTTAACCATGTTAGTTGTAAAGCGGTTGTAAAGAAACTACGAAATGATACCATCTCGCGAAATTTGCTTCTTAATGCCTTACTCACATTTATTGTGTTGATTAATAACACTATATTTCTAATACTGATTTTGTGTGAACACTTTACCGTGTTTCCAATGGCTTCGGTCTATTTTGTAAATTAAAGAATTGTCAGTTATTACTCACACTTATTACGCAACTCCCAACTTCAGTTCTTCCCCACTTGTCTTCATTTATCTACGCCTTTCGAGATCATACATCATCTTGAAGAATACGCTTCAGAAGCACTCACCAGAAACTGAACCCGAGACATTCACGTGACCAGGCAAGCTCGTTGTCCATTCAGCCATTGGGAGGGGATTCAATGGTACATGATTCCTAACTTCTGTCAATTCACAATTCATGGAGCCACCTCCAGCTAATGTCATAGATCCCCAATAATATCATGGGTGTGTACTGCTGAAGAGTTCCAAGTTGGGATGAAACAGATGTTCATTAATACCCCGCCCCCAGCGTATTTATCGATTTCTAACTGGTTACAGGATTTCATCATGAGCTGACATCAGTTAGAGAACCATTAGAAAACCAGCTGGTAGCACTGGACAGCTGTTTCATCCTAATTTGGGACTCTTCACCAGTTTCACCCGCAACCAGGCTTCGAACCCAGGACATTCAGGCTTCAAGGCTAGCTCACAGACCATTAAACCATTGGGACCCTACACAGTGGTCAGTACATGAATTCCAACTTCCGCCAAATCACCACATAGCGCGACCACTAGCCAACTTCATCCATGGCGAGTATTTGCCCTCACATCCAACCTCCTGTACCCTACTAGTTAAGAATTCCCACCTGAACAGGGCTAGTCACTAGTAAGCATGACAGTGGTACCCAAGTGTTGTTTTGTATGTATGTATATTAAGAAGGGACATATCTTGTCTTTAAAACCCTTGTTCAATCATATGAGTCATAAAGTAACTGCGAAACATAATTCACAAAATTACATGAATTTTGATCAAAATTTAACCACAGAATTACAAATATTACAGATAGTAGTCTATTTTTGTTAAACAGTATGTACTTTTGCTTCAGATTTTTGATGATTACGTTCGACTAAATTTCATGGTCATGGAAAAAGCATATGTTTATTTCTCACTGAGCACTAAATCATTTGAGAACTATTCGATCTAATCTTGATCACAGTTCATATGAGTCATTCATTAATATCCATTTTGTGACTAGACATTAATAAACATTTTCGCGATGAATGGTTCATATCAAAACAAAGAAAAACTACTCCTTGAATGGACAGTTTCAGTAACAAAGAAAGCTATTGTTGGTATTAGATGATTGGAGGCAGTTCGCAGGCAGCCTTGCTTGACATAGATTTCGTTCTAATTGGCACTCGTTAACAAGGCGTATCTGCAACTTTGAAGGAACCCATATCCCTCGTGAGGTTCGAACCCGTGTCACCCAGAGACGTTACCATTGAGCTATTCGAGCTCGCGGTTGACTTCCTCAGAAGGGACATGAGTTCCTTCAAGTTTTCAGACGCGTCTTGCTGACTGGTTAGTGCCAACTAACACGAAACCTAGGTCGAAGCTTCCAGAAGACTGTCTCCAACCATTTAGTACTAACAATTCACAGTGCACCGTAATGGCAAGCCACCTAGTGTGGTGGCCACATACGATTCAATCTGCACCAAAGATGGGACTAGACACATTACACCAGTTACTGAATAGTATCCAATTAAAAAGAAGGCTAACTTAATTAAACTACCTATGAAGGGTAATCGAATTGTACATTTGACAGCTAAAAAAGTTGGCCACGGTTAACTATCATCAAGCGAATATTCTTTACCATATACGCTGTTGTTTAATACACTAAAGAGATGAAGAAATGTATTCTTCTTCACGCTGTTTACATTGATGCTATCAAAGAAGTGAGTAAATGTAGTCTGCATGTAATGTAAGGCAACATACAGCACAATGAATCAATGAATGAGTATTCGTAGGCCGAAATATGCGTGATAGACTTTGATTTCCACTTCACATCTGAGTTGCATTCAGTTACTTGTTGTCATTGTCCATTGTAAAATTCTCTGCTTTTAAGTGTGTTTCTACAAATTATGGTGGCTTTAGAACCAGCATACTTTTGTGCAAGATTCTACATTCATAAGTTAGTCGTTTAGATAAACAACAGTCATTATATAACAGTGAAGCGAGAGATAAATGACCACTGTGTATATTAGGGTAACAGTGAATACTGGGTACCTCTCCCTCTCCGCTGCCGCCACTCACTGATAACTGATACTTAATACATACTATTTTCACTTGTCAATAACTGATAAACTTTTAAAAGACGAAAGGATTGATAGAATAAATATTTTCTTCCTAATTAGATCCTCGTCACTGACTCTAATATGTATATATACATATGGCGATTTCAATACAATACAAAAGGAGTGGATTGCATAATGCACATAATTTGAGAAAAATGAAGAGTGATTATGAAATAAGTGAGTATTCAACTTCGTTGCGTAATAGGCCATTTGAGATGAAGGAGTCAGAAAAATTTAAAATAATTTCGATAGTGATATTATCTGACCACACACGGACTTGTCATAAGAATACATATGAAATTAATAAAGAGGTACATGTGGACACACATACATAGGGCGGGGGTGGGGACTCATCGATCTCTGCAAGTAAGGGCTTCACAGCATATTCCTAAATGCCTCCAGAAGCAAATAGAAGCACCAAAACCCACTAATTGTACGAACAGGAGACCTAGCGCTTCTATCGCGAAACATATTATAGAGACAGGACATAAAAGTGATGTTAACAGATCTTGTAAACCTATCTGTAAAACGTGTTTGGGGCGTATCCTAAAGTTTGTGGAAGCCCTAGCAATTAGAAAGTGCAAGTCACCTTTATGCGTTCAAAGCAACAATTCGTCATCACATTAAACCTTCTATGGTAAATTTTGTTTTGATACCAGCCAGGGTAGATGTACTATTTACCTCTGCTATTTGGTTTAGTGGTCTTCATTGTTATTTTGACCTTGAATATGTCCTTTCAACTTGACCTAAGTCTATTTTCTCACATCTTACCTCTTTATTAATTTCATATATATATATATATATATTCCCATGATATTTCCGTGTATGGGATCCGATTGTTCGGAGTGTGTGTTGCGCAAATACAACACTACACGATTCAGACAAATTACGTCTTCCTATTGCTTTATCTAAATTCATGAAGGGAACTAATTGTTTTAAAGTGATATTATCACCGAAGTATTGCAGTTTTTCATGCACAGTACCTGGCTTTAGTGCTAAATTCATATTCTTCTCAATGGAATTATCTGGATAACATCAGTGAAATAGCAAGGCAGTGCCTGATGAATGCAGTTAAGAAAATAGCATCTATTCGAACAGACGTACACTGTTTCTTCACAACCACTTCGATTTTACATTGGACAAATAAGGACAAACTACTTAATGTCGCCTCGTGTA